AATGTGTTTCGTTGAAAATTTTGATGGAAATGTTTTTTATCAAAAAACTTGACAAAAATATTTAGTTGAAAACTTTCGATGGAAATGTGTTTCGCTAAAAATTTCGACGAAATTTTCTTTTTGTTAAAAAGTTTAACGAAAATGTTTTCGTCGAAAACTTTTGCCGAAATTTGAATTCTGTAAAGAATGTTGATGAAATTTTTTTCCGTCAAAAATTTTTGATAGAAATGTTTTTCGTCAAAATTTTTGATGAATATGTTTTTTGTGAAATATTTTGACGAAATTTAGATTCCGTAAAAAAAATTGACAAAAATATTTTCCGTCAAAATTTTTGACGTAATTGTTTTACGTTAAAACTTTTCTTTTAGTGTAATTGTGATTTTTTTTCTTTTTTTTTCACGTAACGGATATGGGTCAAATTTTGGGTCAATGGGTCATTATTAAATCAAGTCAGGTCGAAAACTGACCCAAATAAAAGTGGGTTAGTATTTAAACTCAGTTCAAAAAAATAGGTATTTATGGGTGAGGTCAAGGTCATATCAAGGGTAGGGCAAGTGAACAAGTTTTTTTGCACACCTCTAATCCCATATATATGGGCCCTACACATTTTTATATGTGTAATAGATAATTTTATCTCTTATAAAATAAAAAATACAAATCCTAAGAAAATTCAAAAATATAATATATTATGATATCTTTCTCCCAAAACGTAGCATTTTAAATTTTATGCTCGTTTCTTGAGTGATATCAGCCTAGTCATTTAAATATAAGAGTAAATACCCTTTTTGGTCCTCAGGAAATTTTACGATGCTCGATTTAGTCCCTAGCAAATAAAAAGGTACATTGTGGTCCCTAAGAAATTTAAAATGGACCAATTAGTTGAAATCGTGGTCTCTCACAATTTCAAAAAAGGCCTATATTAGTCCTCAAAATGACTAAAATGGTTTATTTTGTATTTCTTAGGGACCACGATGGACCTTTTTATTTGCTAAGGACTAAAACGGGCATCGTAAAATTTGTTGAGGACCAAAAATAGTATTTACTCTAAATATAATGCGTGCGTTCGAGATATTTGAGATTGAGCAACAAATTTCATATACTCGTTCGTATTTAAGGGGTGATAATTTGGATGGACGTAGGGTGATAAACGAGCCAGGGGCCTTTCAGGGATATTTGACTCGGCTCGTGAAGGTCTGAACTTACATGCCTAATATTGGTTGTTGGAACCAGACTTGGACTTATATAAAAGCTCGTTTAGTAAAAAGGCTTCAGGCTCTAATTCAAAAGCTCGGACTTGGAGCCTCTCAGACTGACCTAGTATATTAATTTTTATTTTTATTTATATTTTTTATACTATTTGTAGTAGCTCTCTCTCCTCTCAATCCATTTCACCCATATTTTATTAGTTAAACAGACTTTTTAAATGATTTTGTTCTATATTATGTTGTTTGGATATACATTGAATTTATGAATATTTATGGAATTACTAGTGTTGTTGATTGTATATTCTGTTTGGATAAATTTTTGTTGTCTTATTTTTTTAACAGGCTAAATTAGGCTTTTATTTTTTGTAAATAAGGCAGGTCACAGGCCGATAATTATATTCATAACAGGTACAAGCTTAATAAGGCGACACATTTAAACACAGACTTAACTTTTTAAGACCAAAGTTCAGCTCGGCTCGGCCTATGGACACAACACAACAAGAATACGAATATATTTAATATGAATAATAATATCTGAATTAATTGGATTAAAGTTTTGACACTTAATACAGTAAATTTTTACCAATCTGACTACACTCAATACAGTCAATTTGTACCAATCTGAATATGATACAAATTAAAAAACGGATAGAACGAATTTTTAGTGTCATATTAACTAATCATATTAGAAAATTGACATCGCCATTATTCGCAGCCAAACTGGCTACACGACATTATGTAAGATCCTAGTGAGTTATATTTAAATAAAAAATGATATGTCATTTTAAAGGATGCAAAATTATATCATTTTAAGTGAGAGAAATAAATAGATAAAGGGGAAGAGAGAGTGGACAAAAAAAATAAAGATGTAAGTCTCACATTTTTGTGAGAGTGAAATGACATAAATTATGTAATTTAAAAAAACAAATATTTTTTCCATAATTTTAAGGATAAATTATTATATAAGGTTTTTTCAAAAAGCAGTGTAACTCTATCAATTAAGCATATAGAATGACTTTAAGTTAAGGGAAAATTTATATTGATTATTTCTTTTTTTATTACTTATTACTATCAAATCTTAACCGTTAATTTCGGTTAATTTAACGGTTATAATTTATTAAAAACTAATAATTAATTAATAAATATGACTCAATAATTAAATTGACGAAAATCAACGGTTAAGACTTGATAATAAAAATATATATATATATATATATATATATATATATATATATATATATATTTTCTAGCCTCTGCGATGGTCACAGAAATCCTCTTATATATCATCCACCTCCACAGTGACGAGCTCTATGCCTCATGCTTGACTCCAACACCGAAAAGAACTCCCTTTTACTTAAAATAAAAAGAGTAAACATATTTTTTGTCCCCGGTAATATCTACGAAATTCTTTTTAGTCTCTGGCAATAAAAAAGGATCAAATTGGTCCCTAAAATTATGAAAAAAAAGGCCACATTAGTCCTTATGTCAACTCCTCTGTCATTAATGTGGCCTTTTTTGCACGTTGTTAGGACCAATTTGGTCTTTTTTTTATTGTCAGGGACTAAAAAGAATTTCGTAGATATTGCCAGAGACTAAGAAGGTTGTTTATTCAAATAAAAAATAGAGATTTCATCCGCAGCGATTCAAACATCGATGAGCTTTTGCTCTAGACACAGCTGCTTGCTCTTGGTATCACCGCGGCAATGTTGTCACCGACTCCGTTACCATCCTCCCCAACGACACACGCTCTGCTCGAATTAACCCAAACAAATACGACCACTTAGCAGAAAATCCACGGTGTTAAATCGATCATTCAAATTGCCATTGTTGCTCCACGGAGAGTGGTCGTCGATGCAAAAAATCTACAATGTTAAACCCAAACATTAGTCATTCAAATAATCAAACTTTTTTGTTCTCGTTCATGTATTTTATTGAATATTGAAATCATCAAAATAGCACATATTTTAAGAGAACTAAAGCTTATTTGATAAAGGAAAAAAAAAATGGTAACAAAATTATCAAAAGCCAAATGAATCAATATTATAAACAAGACGAAGATATGATTTGCAAAGACTCTCTAGACTAGACCATACATACATGGCTTCCAATGTTGAAGCATATTCTAGCCCTGGTTCGCAGCATGCATCAGTGTTGTTGATCAAAACTGTAATGAAGAGATTGCTTGTCAGTTATGGCTTACGGGGGATGGTTGGAGGTGGTGGAAAAAAGGTGGTAGTTATCGGCGAAGCAAAAGATGATAGGGGTTAAAGATAAGGGCTTTTTTGTCTTAAAATTTTCAAATATGTTTAATTGATATAACATTAAAGTATAAGGTTATTAATTTTTTTAATTATGGTGTTTTGAAAAACAACTCAGGGTTCCTATTTTCTCATATTATAAGAGAATTTTTTCTCCTACTATAGACACAAAATGTGATAGGTCTCATCTCTCATTAAAAAACAAAAATAAAAAAAATTGTTACATATATTTCGATATATCATTAGTAGGAGAAAGAACTCTCCTATAACACGAGAATTCTTTTCCTATAAAGTAGTTTTACATATTTTACCCTATTTTTAATAACTAACGGATTATCTCATCCATTACAAATTATTTATCCAATTATGTAATAATTTAAAAAAATTATACTTCTTATATAATAGGAGAAATATAAAGCTTCTTGCAAAGAGAAGAAATGATGGACCCATATTTAAAAAAAAAAAAAATCAAGCATAAAAATCAAAAGATCGTTAACATGAGAAAATACATTTCTTACTAGAAGTATTTTTCCCTAACTTTAAAATAAGAAGTTTGATCCAAAGCATGAAACCGAATATTCTTCCATGTATGGGGCCGTTAAATGCTGAAAAGTGAAGCAAAGCAGGTGAGGGCCCAGATCCCGTTGCCCATGCACGTGAGTTCCCGTGCCTATCAGCTGTTGAGTCACGTGTCGATTGAACCCTTTATTGTCGGTTTCTATTTCTCGAGCAAAGAAAAACTAGTCTTTTGGTCAACTTATCCAAACTGATTCAAACCGCGGTAATCGAATCGAAAAATCTAAATTTAAAAATTGAAAAAAATCGCAAATTTTAATTGGATTGGATCAGTCTTCGGATTGGTTGATAAAAATCGATCTCATCCAAATCGATCCAGTATATTAATTTCCCTCTACGTACTTGAGCATTTTCTCAATCATAGCCCAAAATTTTCTAAATCCAAGACTTATTAACCCATCAATTAAACCAAGAAAAAACTTATATCTCATTGCTAAAAAAAAACTATATTATGGTTTACTAATGCTTTTGTATTCAAATTTTTTTTTATAAAGTCAATATATATAAAAGATGTTATTTGCATAATAATCATGCAACAAATTTTAAGATCTTTGAAAAATCGAAAACTAATTCAATTCAAACCGAAAAAATTTGAATTGGATCATATAGGATTTGAAAAAAATTCAAACAAAATGAATGATTATATGATCAAATCAAATGGATTGAATTAGACGATTTTTATTTTCAAAACCGATTCGATCGAGACCGTAAACACTCGTAATAAAAACACACAAAATCCCACACCATCCTACCAAAATGTGCCAAAGAAATCAATGGCTCAAACACTCCCATCACATTCCCGTAGTCCAGCGCCCACCGCATAATCCCTCCCCATAAGCCAGAAAGAAACACAAGCCAATACAAAGACGACACGCAAGTTTTGTTGTGGAAAGAAGGCAATAACACACGAAAGAGAGTCCTTTGTTTTTTGTTTTTTGTTTTTTTTTTCACCAAACAAGATAAATCTTATAATTTACAGGGATTTCCCAAATCTTTGATTGGAGATCATTAGGGTTTCTGCACCAGATTTCCCCCAATTTTCTCCGCGATTCTTCGGGATTTCCCATATTCTCTTCTTTCTTCTTAGTTTCCCTTTCCCATTCTTTCTGCAACCCTATCTCTCTCACCATTTGAGAGGCAAACCAAAAGGTTCGTTCTTTTCGTGCTAATTTGTATATTCGATTATTGATTATAATTTGTAACAAGGTTATGCCCGATCGATTGCTTCGCATTCAATGTTAATCAGACTTTCTGGTTATTCTCTTCGTTATTCTAATACGGAGAGAACGAAATCTTTCTACTTTCCCCTTCCCTATTTGCCTGATGTGTAATGGCGCTTTTTGGCGCCATTCCGTTGTGAACGATTTACTTTCTGAAAGTGGATGTGAATTTCCAATCATTGATCTTCTCTATATTTATTGTAGAAACGAACCCTGAAGTGTGCTTTTGCTGCAAGATAGGACAGAGTGTGCTATTGGGGTGTGATCTTAAAAAGATTGAGAGTGCTTATAGTTTTGCAACCGATGTTATGAGGAAGAAAAGGAAAGGAAGTGATAACGATGCATCTGCGGATCTGCCTGTTATTTTGCCTTCCAATCATGGCTCTGCATCGTCGAATTTCAAATCACATTACTCGCTGGAAGATTGTTCTAGGCTGAAGAAGAGGTGTAAAGAAGATGCTGACACTGAGCCAGCTGGTTCCTTTAAAAGTAGGCTTGCCGGCATTGCTACTGCTCCACCTTGTGGGACATCGTCTTTGATCACTTCCGGAAGAGGTCTCAAGAGGAAGATAGGTTGCATCGATGTTGCTACCCAGACGGGCAGGAAGAAGAAAATTGAGGATGATTATGTTTCTGGTGAAACCATTGGGCAAGGAAAATTTGGATCTGTTTGGCTGTGTCGGTCCAGGGTTAGCGGAGCAGAATGTGCTTGTAAGACTCTGAGGAAGGGGGAGGAGACGGTTCATCGAGAGGTTGAGATAATGCAGCACTTGTCTGGACATTCTGGGGTTGTGACACTGCAAGCAGTGTATGAAGAAGCTGAATGCTTTCATCTGGTGATGGAACTGTGCTCTGGTGGGCGACTAATTGATCAAATGGTTAAGGATGGTCCATATTCAGAACAGAGGGCTGCTAATATACTCAAGGAAGTGATGTTAGTCATCAAGTATTGTCATGACATGGGAGTTGTGCACAGAGATATCAAACCTGAAAATATTCTGCTCACAGCATCAGGGAAAATAAAGCTTGCAGATTTTGGCCTGGCCATGAGAATTTCAGAAGGTAACATGTAAAACATGTTTGGGTGAATTTTTTTTTTCCTTTTTATGTATGTATTTAACTTAAAATCCTTGGCCAACCTGCCTCTTGTAAATTTTTATCCAATGCAGTATGTATTATAACATAATTTTAGGGCTTAGGCAGATATGATGGTGTTTCGCACTATGTTCATGTCTGTTTAGTGTATTTACTTTTTGTGATTTCCTGTGGCAATGTAAATAAATTTTTTGAAGGAATTCATCATAATGAGCCTTCAACTAAAACAGTCATGTTTTTTGAATGTGATTGCGACTATTTGCAATTTGCATCCATTGGATCTTTATTTTCTAATGTTACGCTGTCCATAGGAGTAAAAAATGTTGAGATTTCAGATGGTTATCTTTCACAAGTTTTCTATGTTCATCATCCTCGAAAAAATATGATGGCAATTTAAGTATAGGAGGTCGGAGGGAAAATGCTTATATCTGTTTGAACCTAACCGTTCTTATGGTACGTCTGGATTGTTTGCACTTATTTTAAGCAATTGCAAATATTGGACCATAATTTGTTTAAGCATTGTCTTATTAACTAAAAACTTGTATCTCAGGTCAGAACTTGACTGGTTTGGCTGGAAGCCCTGCATATGTTGCCCCAGAAGTATTGTTGGGCCAATACTCTGAGAAGGTGGATATATGGAGTGCTGGAGTGCTCCTGCATGCTCTTTTGGTTGGCGGTCTTCCATTTCAAGGAAATTCATTGGAGGCAGTTTTTGAGGCTATTAAGTCCGTCGAAGTAGATTTTCAAACAGGGATGTGGGAATCAATATCTAAACCTGCCCGAGATCTTATTGGGAGAATGCTGACAAGGGATATTTCTGCAAGGATATCAGCTGACGAAGTACTTAGTAAGTTCATGATTGATTACGAATGTATTATAGGTTGCCTGTTTTATCTTGCTTCCTCCCTTGATGATGAATGCACCAAGAATTGTTGTACTTTTCTCTTTTATTTTTTTAAGTTATTTCATTGAAATAATTAAAATAGAGAATATTTCCAAGTTTTCTTGAAATTTATCTTTGCTATCGCAAGGTTTTTTTAGCACAGTAGAAGATTTGCCAGGTTTCAACAAGCTTTTATGGTCAATCCTTGGCAAGCGGTTAATTGGTTATACTCTTCTGAACTGCTTCTATGTATGTTTTATTTTTTGATATAACAGTGAATCTGTTAATTCTCACTTCCTCTGCCAGTTTCATTGCATGTTCCTGTTCTATACTTTTGATACACTTTCCTGTTTCCCTATTGTTTTTTGGAAGTAAAAAAAATGACAATACTTTTTTTTTTGGGTAAAGAAAAATGACAATACTTTAAATGACTCTTTGGTAGTTTTAAGTCGTGTGCATGTTGTATTAACATTCGGTGGTTCATTTTCAGGGCATCCATGGATATTGTTCTACACAGCGAATACATTAACAATGCTGCCCATCAAAACAAAATCGAAGCACCAAATTGGTGCTGCATGCCGACAGTTTGTGGCTGCATCTGAACCTAGGTTAGGAGTAAACAGGATAGATAATGGCTCACTTAGCGGGGTTTCATCCTCTGAGAGTTGCAATTCAGATGATCAGGATGAATGTGTGTTGATTGATGCGCTTGCGACTGCAATTTCACATGTGACGATATCCGAACCAAAGAGGAGCAGATTGTGTGTTCCCACAGGTCCAATAGTTCAGCAAGGTTCATCTAACATGAAGTCTAACAACCTTTGTAAAGCATTTTGACCTCCTGACATGCTTACACTACCTATACCACTATCTGGACTACTTTAGCTGGGTTTTTAGAATTTACTTTCCCCAGCGCATCATACAGTGGGCTAAAGTGGATTTTATATGCTGACATGTTGGCATGGGATGCCACTTCCTCTGAAGTTCCTTTTTAGTGTGAGATCCAATTGCAATTTTTTTTTTTGTCCCTTTGATCAACCTAATAACGATTAACTGAGTAAACTGAAATAATTGTACAGCATATGTAAATAGAATGATAATGTATCATTACCGTTTTTCTTGCTCTTGGTATATACAAGTAGAATATATTATAAGTGAAATCTTTGTGTAACTTGTGTTCCTAGGAAGCATGTTTTTACCAGCATAACGCAGCATGTGTAGTTACTACTTTTTTTTTTTAGTACTAAGGAGCTAAAGCCCAAAAAACAAAACTACACTAGCAGGCTACCAGCATCAAGAGCTAGCCACTGCCCCAACCCGCGGGGGGCTTCATGATAAATCACCAGGTTTGTTTCATTGGCACCAAAACAATTCGCAAGCCAGTCAGCACTATTGTTCATCCCTCTCTTCACATGCACAAAATTCAAAATCCAATCCTCCAAGCATCAAGTCTTGATGCAAGTCACCATCTGGGTACTGTACCTATTACCATCACCTCTTGATATTGCCTCAATCACCAAAGCGGAATCGCTCTCTACAATCAGGTGATGCGCTCCACTATCCCAAGCAATCTGTAGACCTATATGGATAGCCCAAAGCTGCGCCATCAGAGAGTTGCAGATGCCTATCTTGTAGGTGAATCCACTAATCCACTCACCTTTATCATCTCTGATCAGGCCCCCACAAGTCGCGATGCTTGTGTTGCTCTTCACCGCCCCATCGACATTGAGCTTCCACCATCCCAACGAAGGAGGATGCCACCTCTCATACGAAACAGACAACGGGGAACCGAGCTGAGACTTCAGACACCCCACTGCCTCCTTCTTCTCAACTATATATTTTGAAATAGTAAGGATGGGATCAAAGGGTCTACTGTAGAGAAGGTCATGCACCTCATTGTTTCTCCAAACCCAAAGGTGCCAGATAGTGGTGGAAAAAATATCCATCCAATTCATAGCTTGGCAGTGAACCCAGCCTTTAGAGATATTTTTCCTGATCCACTCATGAGCATTCAACGAGAAGAAATTGTCCTGCCTACCACCATTGAACCAAGCATTCCATATGGATCTAGCCTTCTTACAGTCTCTCAAAACATGGATAATACCTTCCATTTCATCTTCACAGACATGGTAGAAAGGGTTCCCTCCCCGATTAGCAGTCCTTGCCTTCACCAGAATTCGACCGTGAAGGGCCAGTCATAAAAAATTCCTCACTCTATAAGGGCCATCCCACTTCCAAATAATTCTCCAAAATGGGATCAGGGGTTAGAGTTTCATAACCCATGAGATTGAGATAAGCTTTCCTAACTATATGCCTTTCCCCCGCTGAATTTTTCCAAATTAACTTATCAAGACCCTTATCTTCAGAGGGAGGCAAGAAGGTTCGAATGTGATGAAGTTCCACTCACCAGACAACTCCTCCACCAGATCTATGTTCTTCATCTGAATCATATTAAGGTCAAGAGGCCTAAAGACCAAATCCTTCAGAGGTCTCTCCAAGTTGGTCCAAATATCATTCCATAACATTATATTTCGACCATTGCCAGAGTCCCATTGAAGAGAGTTGGTTAATTCTGTCCAAACCGAACACAAACCTTTCCATAATTTAGAATCAAGCTTAGAGGAGAAAATTTGCCTTCTCAAGTCAGCATCACGCCCATATTTCCCATATAGCACCTGAGTCCAAAGATCCTTTCCGTTATCTACCACCTGCCACAGAATCTTCATGAGGAAAGCCTTATTCTGGGTTTGAAGATCTGTAAAACCCAACCTCCCAACATTCCTAGGAAGACACAAAGTTTTCCAGGAGACTAAATGCACTTTCTTCTTCTGGGGGGAATCACCCCAAATAAAAGCCCTATGTACTTACTCTACTTCCTTACAAATCGAAATTGGTAAGGAACCATATTGCATATGATACCTGGGGATTGAGCCCAGGACCGACTTGGCTAAAGTAGTTCTCCCAGCAAAGGATCTTCCACCCAGCCAATCTGCTCCTGACCCGAAGAATAATATTTTCAAAAAAATTCCTCCTACCTCTACCATGATAGAGATTAGCTCCTAGATATTTCCCCAAAGAGTCAGCCTGCTTGAAACCACTAGCATGGACAATAGAGGATTGGATATCAAGTTTGGTATTTCTGGAGAAATAGATAACAGTTTTCTCAATGCTAACTGCTTGCCCTGACATAACGCTGAAATTATTTAGGCAGTCAATCATCACCTCCAATTGTTTCAAGGATGCTTCTCCAAATAACACCAAATCATCTGCAAACATTAGGTGCGAAATGAGAGGCCCTCTCCTGCTAGCCTTCATAGCTTTCCACTCATTCATCTTCATCTTTTCAGCAATAAGGTGGGATAGCTTATCCATGCATAGAACAAACAGATAAGGAGAGATTGGATCACCTTGTCTTATGCCCCTGGAGATAGAGAAAGGTTCTGATTTGGAGCCATTCCACAAAATCCTGAAGGAATGAGTATAAACACATTCTCTGATCACTGCTACAAGATCAAGAGGGATACCAGCCTCCAATAACACATTTTCCACAAACTTCCAATTCAAACAGTCATAAGCCTTTATAAGATTGATCTTGATCGACATGAATGCTTTCTGTCCTTTCATCTTGTTCATGGAGTGAGTCATCGCTTGAGCTATGATCACATTATCATGGATATTACGACCCGGAACATAACTAGTTTGAAAGGGAGAAACCAACTTATTCATGAGAGGCTTCAAACAATTCACTATAATCTTAGTGATAGCTTTGTAGAACACATTGCACAAAGCAATGGGTCTGAATTGGCTAATGTGCTCAGGGGACTCAATCTTGGGGATAAGCACCAGAAGAGTCTCATTAACACCTTTAATGATGGATGGGTTCTCAAAGATCTTCTTCATTTCCTCAAATATCCTCTCCTTTAACAAATTCCAATTACTATGGTAGAAGGCTGCCGGGAATCCATTCGGACCAGGAGCCTTATGGGCTCCAAGTTGAAAGAAAGCAACCTTGACTTCCTCCCTGCAGACAGGAATGCCAAGCCTACTAACTTCCTCTAACTCCAAATTCGGCCAATTGATGGAAGTGGAATACCAAGGCCTCTGCAGGTCCGTTTTAGTAAAGAGATTCACATAGAAGTTAGATACCAACTCTTCCAAGCTGCTTTTGTTCCTGACCCACACTCCAACATCATTCTTCAAGGCCTCTATTTTATTCCTTCTTCTTCTGGATATAGCCATAGTATGATAATACTTGGTATTTCGGTCATCATCTCTGATCCAAACCGTTCTCGACTTGTGATACCAGAGCTTTTCTTCCAAGTCTAGGGTATTTTCCAGGTCCCACTTTAGCTCAGTTTCTAAGCCTTCCAAGAAGCGATTAGAGCCCTCAGCCAGATTGCGCTGAGTCCCCGATAATCTCCTAAGGACAGTATCTTTTTTCCTCGAAATGTTACCAAAGGTGGAGGAGTTCCAATCATGAAGGATAGGAACAAGAACCTCCATATTTTTACTCGTCTCTAGATCATTATTCCAATTCTCAGCAAGAACATTAGAGAAATGAGGGTGCTCAAGCCAAGGGGGAAAGAAGCGAAAGGGTCTATCTTCCCACTTCTCAATTTCAGCAAAAAGATTGATGAGCAAAGGATTATGGTCAGAAAAAACTCTAGGTAAAATTCTCACTCTAGCTTCATCAAACTTTGATCTCCAAGAGGCCGAAGCTAACACTCGATCCAATCTCTTGAAAAATCGATCCAGATGCGCAAATGTGGGGCTTCTCCACGTGAAGGATGGGCCAGAGGCACCCAAATCAATAAGTCTACAGTCATCAATCATTTCTCCAAACGCAAAGCACTTATTAACATCAATCGGGGCACCTCCTTTCTTCTCAAACCTGGAAAGCACCTCATTGAAGTCACCAGCTAGCATCCAAGGATCCTGGATTTGGTTCTCAAAATTCCGAAGCTCCTCCCAGCTTTCTACTATCAAAATTGGGAGAGGCATAAATAGCAAAAAAAATGAAGTTCTCTCCATTATTCCAACTAATCCTCACATGAACAAACTGCTGACTTTTGTCAATGAGATTCACTGAGAACATAAGATTATTCCACAATATCCAAATTCCTCCAGAGAATCCTCTAGCTTCTTCTATGCAAAAATTACTAAAGCCCAAACTACGAATAGCTTTGGCTGCTCTAGCGCCACTAACACAGGTCTCCAGTAAAACAACTAGATCAATTTTATGTTTCCTAATAAAAGTAGATAGCATTCCTTTGAGGCGTTTCTTGGCCGCTCCTCTACAATTCCAAACTAGGAAATTCATTAAACACATTTAGACCTGTGGCAGTGTTGTAAGGAACTGCCAGTCCCAACACTTTCCTTCCCAATAGGGCTACACTACATAAGAGAAGGGTTACCAATATTAGGATCCCTATTCTCAGAAAGAGATATCTTCGCATCATTCGACTTAACTTGGCCACCATCCTTAGCCCCCCTGCTTCCCCCTCTTGGGCTGCCGGATTTTTTGAGAGAGGAAGACCCTTCTTCGCTGCAAGCATGGAAGAAATCGCCCTTTCCAACGCTTGATCCTTCTGCTTCTTAGACATGGAGTTCATCACTTGTAACACTTCCCTGTCTTCCTCTTTGTTACTGTCATTTTCCATTTATGGCCTCAGGGTCGAAGAGACTTCCCCTATATTGATATCTTTAATAATAGCTCCATTGGGCTTTGTTTCTCCAACTAAACTCCCTTTGGGCTTACTCCTAGAAGGCCCTTTTACTTTCTTACTCCGAGAAGGCCCTTTTACTTTTTTATCCTGAGATGCCCTCAACAAAGTTGGCCCCCCTATAACAGAGCTTTTATGGACTGGCCCCACAGATTTGTCCACACTCCTAGCTGCAAGAACTGGCGCCCCTAAAGTGCCTTTTGCCTCTGGATTGGAAGTCAACTTGTACCCCTCACCTACTACCTGCTCCCTCTGAGTAGCCCCAACCCTAAACGTCTGCTTTTCCGACACAACCACAACTAACTTGGAATTCGAGCTCCTTACCGTCTCGGCCTCTCTGACATCTTCTTCACCCTTGTCTCCGGCCACCACGATTTTCTCAACCTTCCTAACTTCAGCCGCGGGAGCTATCTGGGGAACTGCTTTGAGTTTGCGTCCTCTAGAAAATCTTTGGACGACCATCCATGCGCCAAATGCCTCAGATTTATCTACTCCAGCCACCACCTCCGGTCTAATAGCCGCATGATGCTTCTCCTCACCTCCAAGACTACTAACTTCAGCTCTAGCACTCTGAACTCCTCCTATACAAGCTTCTTGCCTATGCCTATACATTCCGCATTTAAAACAAATTAAATGAAGACCTTCATAAGCCACCTGAAGGATTTTCCCGGCTATCTCGAACTGTGAAATGAAACTCTTTCTCAGATCTATTTCCACACATATTCGAGCATACTTTGCCTTTTCCGTGTACTCACCTTCTCCTCCATCCGATTTTTTCAGAGAGTTCCTATCTATCTTTAAGGTCCTTCCAAATAGATTCCCAATCCTCCAGAGGTGTTGGCTTGTGTAAAATTCCAATGACAGCCCCAGAATTCTCATCTATATTGCCAATCTTCTTAGTTGCTCATCAAAGGAATCAAACATGGGTCTCCACCTTTGTACAATCACATAATGCTCAGCTACCACCCAAGGACCTTAGACATGGTGATAATCATTCTCATTGTGGAGGTTGACCAGAATATAGCCATTTTCCAAATCTATAACTTCAAACCTTCCTTTCAGACACCACTGCTTCACAAGTCTTGAAATGAGAAACATGTTGCTGATTTTCCTCCCTAAAAGTTTTACAATAAGAGCACTTCTCCATTTCTTACAATCTTCTTTATGTTGAGACATAGAGAAGTGATACACTAGACGTAGGGGGGTTTTCTGCTCCACCGGGACCTCCTCTTCCAATCTACCAAAATCTTTCTCTTCCTTCCTTTGGATAGACATCCAGTCTTCATCTTCGCTTCCTCCTTCATCATCTTCCCCATTGAGTTGCAGCACTATATCCTTGTAAGAGACAAGCTTCTTACCATCCAATGGAGAGTATTTCCTCTTACTGCTTACTGGAGATTTTCTGCCCAATGTCAGTTCACCTTCCTCATTTGAAGCTTCCTCGTTCATCTCATCGTCCATATGCGAGTCTTTTACTCCATTTTCCTTTGCTTTTTTAACACTGCGTTCCAGTAGGTCCTCTACCTCTCTCTCAATCGCTTTTCTAGGCTCCATTCTGTATCTGCATTGTGTAGTTACTACTTACCTAAGGCAGTACGTACTCCCGTTACTTTTTTTTTCCTTTTTTAATAAAGGAATACTTGCTCCGTTGCATAGAAAATGTGCCTCTCTAGTCTCTACTATAGAAAAAATTTCTGCCCCAAAATATCTACGAATATCTCAATAACTAATTTAATATTTCTACAAAAGACATGATTAGATATTCTTGGAGTAGGAAAAATGTTTACTTTTTAATATTGAATACGTGACATAAGTTGTGACATTACAAATACAGTTAAAATGAGAGACAATAATCACTCAAAAATTTGATCTGACATATACTTGATTATACAAAATAATATTTTTCTTAATTGGAGAGAACCTAACATTTTCTCTTCCTACAAAAAGAGAATAAATGTAATATCAAGCGTATATTTGTAAGATAAAAATGGGTATTTATTCCAAAAGGAAATTTAGACAGGGGATAGGATATTGTGACACACAAATAATGTTACGCACAATGTTACGACCACATCTTAACCGTTGATTTCCGTCAATCAATGGTTATCATTTTTCAAATCAAATTTATTAATTAATTATTAATTCGCAATAAATGATAATCGTTGATTGGCGGAAATCAACGGTTAAGATGTGGTCGTAACATTGTGCGTAACATTATTTGTGTGTCACAATATCCTATCCCTTTAGACAAATATCTATTATTATTGGAAGGATGACAATTTCAAGTTTTCATTTCATTTTTCCCTCCTCCTTTTATTCGTCTTTTGTGGGCTTCTCCAAAGGCTTACTTCAGCAGTAAAGCCTCCCTTAAAAAAGAAAAGATTTAATTAACATCTAGATATTTATGAAAAAAATATATATGAAGAAAGGTAAAATTTCGTAATATTCAGAGGAAATGCAACAATAAAAGTTGGTCATTTAGTTGATAGCATCAGCATCGACGGAGAAAAAAAAAAAAAAAGTCGCGTACATTCACAGTTTATTTAAAAGTTTTGTGATGAAGATTACCAAAAAAAAATAGTTTTGTGATGTGTGCCCTTTTGAAATAAGATGACTCACATTCCCCTAAATCCTTTCCACAAAAAGAGGGCATGCGACAATAATGATAGAACTTTTGGTTCCGGAAGCAAGAAAAAGCATGAAACATCCAAAAGCAATTCTGTTTGCACACAGCACACCTACTACTCTTGCTTAAGACGCAATACGTAATACGATAGAATGTTTGATTCTTAATATCCTTTTCACTTATACAATGCATACGACAACAAAACAGCTAATTCAGCATTGTGGGGTTTTAAATTAAACAGATTCTTATCTAGTACCATGCCATGAACTGAGAAAAGTTCAAGATTGCTACTTGCTACTTCATTTATCAGATATTCACGTGATATTTTAAAGAGAAAAAAGGGGACTTTACAAACTGCTAAACAAGCAAATTATCTCGTTTTTTACACATAACCACTGCTTCGTCCAATAAACATAAAGCGAAAGTCTCAGATATTTTAACTGTAAACTTGGACAATGGAGCTTTTCTATACAACCAAATTAGGCATCACAGCGAGTCGGCCTTAAGTGAAATCTTTCGACCAGGAAGATGAAGCAGTAAACCCCATCGAGTCCTCATTTTCTGGACATCTTTGACCAAAAGTACACTACAGTGAAACAGATTAAGGCAAAAACAACCACATGAACAATATGGTTTGAGCCATCTCGGATGATGCTCTTGTTCAATCTTCTTAAATTATTCTTCACCCCAGCTTGAGCCTTTATCATTGTCATTTGCTGTATTGAAACAGATATAAACAAAATGTTAACAAGACAGTTGGATATTTTCTTGTTAAAAAAGAGACAAAGTACGAATGAGGCAATGACTGATCAATTCCAACAAATCAACATTCCAACAAAAACCAGCCAAAAGATTTTTCCTCTGTATTCATTTTCTGAAGTAGAATATCTCATTAACGTGAATATTATAAAATACTGGAAACCTCATCATTTATATCATCTTCATAAGCAAAACCATAAAGTATTAATTATAATTTTTCTTCGATCCATCAATTATCTTTATGCAAATCAACCCAGAGTTAACCCTTGCTAACTACCCCAAAGTAATGAAGATCCACTTACAGATTATCAGAACTTCACCTAGGGTTCGGATACAAATGAGAGGTCAACTGTATTATAAGAAATTGTTTAAAGAAAGAAAAAGATGTTTCTTTTGTACCATGGAATTATTTTGTATTTTTAAGTGAAAGGTTCAAACTACACTAGTGGCATTAACATACGGTTTTCCATTTTAACTTAAAAGTTCTATGATTCTTTTTCTTTTTGGAGATTTCTCCATCGGTTCATTGATTACTCAACTAATCCGGTTCGAGCCGGATATGACCACAAAGGCGACAAAACTCTTCCTACCAATTTTTTTAACACAACTGTGTACTTAAGACTCGAACTCGATATCACTAGTTAAGCTGAAATAACCCCGTACCAGTTGATCAACGTGCTTGGTGGTAAGTTTTATGATTCTTAACATTGCAAGAAATTGACCCTAAATTTTTTATTGAAAAACATGTGACGCTGTTTCAGCTTTCATGATCTAAAGAAATTAAAATTTCAATAGTAAATCCATTTTGCCTTATTCATAAAGCAGGACACTCTAGGCACAATATACTCCTTTCTCCATCTAAGAGTTGAACTTGTAGAAACAAGCAAAAAATAACAAAATCTATGTGAAATATAGGTTATCCAAGAAATGATGTACCAGCTCTCCCAGAAAATCCTTCTGAAACTTTACTTCTGTGCCTATCTCTTCAGCAACCTGCATCAGAAATGTATGAAGTCGACTGAGAACATTAGGAAGCAGAAACGGGAACAGGAGAGATAAACAAAAGTTTTGAAACATGATATAGTTTCATCCAACTAGTTCTAATAAAAGAAAATGCATAGCAGGACAGAATTGAACAATAAGTCAAGCTGCTAAGACTCTATAGCTTTAAGTTGGAGATTTAACTTAGTGTTCCATCATTACCTACAGTAGCAGGCATACAAGCATAAATAATCAAATATTGTATCCAATATTTTCTCTAAGGAGCACTACATTTTTCTATCTTTTTTATTAGGCTAAGAATATGAATATTCCAATACAGTGGCAACCTCAAAAATGTAATTATTCTCCTTTATAAGTTTCAAGTATTTTAGAGTTAATCTACAGGCACCGGTTGTCCTTCCAACCCTTTACTCTTAGTGTGGGGGGGGGGGGACAATTTTATAGTGTGTGTGTGTTGTGTGTAAGAGAGAGCGGGTGAATTTTGATATGATAGTTATGAACACAATAAATAAAAATGAGAATTTGGCTTTATGGAGGAAGCCCGACCTCAAATGGCTTTACTGAGGAAGCCTAACCTCTTGCACAGAGTGCTATTTTCCATATAATTCTTCTAATTATCTTTATTCAAATACTTTAAGGTTTAAATAGATAATACAAGACAACCTTAGAAATAATTATCCACTACTTGAACAACCCAACAATTCAGAAAATAATAAAATAAAAAACCGTAACAGATAGTGATCCCACAGAACAACAATTTTAAAAACAGCAAAAGGGGGAATAACCTATAGGTTCTATGAAAATTGAAAATGATCAGATAAGAGAGATAGCTCGAGTTCATAGTTGGGTCAATTTAATTTATGCTAAGTAAGGGTTCCCATGGATGTTTGGCTACTTTGTTAATTAAACATTTGAACATTTAAACTCTCTACTTTGTTAATTGAATATAATAGAAGATACATTTTTCATCTTTCTAACTTGGCCACGAAGACCGTTGATTTCGTCGTCCATGTCCATCATGGGATCAATACGCAATTGAATTTCATCGGAGGCACCAACGGCTCTCGTGCTGAGCCCCTCTCTGCAAAATCCGAAAATATATATCAATCAACTATCGCATTCATTCAATTGATGGATAATCTTTGTAAACAAGAATGAATCGAAGAAGATAGATAGATAGATAGATAGATAGATAGATAGATAGATACCTTGATCGGTAAGGGGCAGCATCACCGTAGAAGGAGCCTCCTCTGTTCGAATTGGCCGACATTGAAATTGAAGAAAGAGAAGATGGAAACCCTTTTCGTGCACTGAGAAAAATTAGGGAAATCTAATTCCTCAGAATTCAAATTGACTGGTTTGGTGAATGAATTGCAAGTTACAACTCTATCTCCTAATACAAAATCACCTCTTTCTTCTGCTTTTCTAAATTCTAACCATCCCATCCACCTTTTATTTGTTGGTTTTTCGTTTTATCCTTTAACATAACACAATAAATTTTTCTACCCTCGCAATATTTTGTGGGACCCACACTTTTTAAAACAAAAAAATAAATAAAAAATTAAGGCACGCAAAATGAATCTCTATAACATTACACAATCACTTTTCCTACAACATAACTCTTATAAAACCCTTTATTGTTTGGGTGGTTATTTATGAACGAGTAAGATTTAAAAATAAAAATAAAAATTATTGATGAAGTAATTAAAGTAACTGATGGAGCATTTATGATAATTAGAGAAAACTTTCTGATAATTAGGAATTACTTTCCTTATTTCATTGATTCGATATAATTACTAAATTAATGATCGAAGATTATATTATTACGTGATATAATCGAAAACTTATTGGCTATCACCACTATAGTTGTTAAAATCTCAATTTATCATTACGATTTTACGTTGTAACGATTTTTTTTCATCAAAATGATTTTATCAATATTCCAAACGTTTTTACGATTTTTTTATATTACAATTTGATGTTTTACGATCTTTTAACCTCTTTTCGATTTAACTTAAAATATCAATTTTAACAACCTTGATCATGACAAGTGCATCGGTCGTACAAGTAATATAGTGGATCAATAGAATCCACGTGCCATAATAGAGAAAATCGTACAAGTAATATAGTGGACCAATAGAATCCATGTGCCATAATAATAGAGAAAGGCTCATCCTCTCATTGGAATAACAAATACATTGAGCTTCGTTACCGAATGAAAGATGAGACTAATTTCCCTTCGAGGGAGATTTGAACCCTGACCCAAATAAATCAGTGAAAGCTCAGCTCTCAATTAAGCTACCCTTGGAGGTTAAAGTCCATTTAGTTTACTTTAGACGATATTAGGATTTGATATTTATAATTTTCAAATTTCTCCTATACGATTTTGATATTTCTTGTAGATGTAGTTTTGTTTTGAGTAAATCAAACGAACTATACGTTTGTGATCTTATTTTTCATTTTTGTGACATTTTTTACCAAAAATATAATAAAATATTTTTTTTCGCTGGTAGGAATTATGACAATAATTTTTAATTTGCAGAATAGATTTATTCCTAACATTTATTTCTCAGATTCATATAATAATCAAAGAAGAAATTATATTTAAAAAGCATGTAAGTGGGTAATTGGCGCTTGGAAATAGAATTTGCAAGCAGTAATTGAATATTGTCGTTGATTTAATAAGTAACTTCAATTAACACAAAAATATATTCATAAAAAAATCGTAATTTGATTTCATCAAGCATGGTTATATACAGTGTTTTAAAATCCCAAGTCAACCCCACCTCTTTCCTCTGAGAGTTGGGGTCACGAGTTTGATCCTATATGCACATCGACTCCTCCGACCTCCAAAATCCGGCCGGATTTCAGTGACTTCCAGATCGGAGGGGTCATTGCATATTTTTTTTTTAAAAAAAAATTCCACGAAACAACGTTTATTAAAAAAAATGCTTGCAAAAAAAGGTTACAACAAGGGACGTTTGGTAGAGAAGTAATTTTTTAGCACCTGGGTATCACAATTACTGAAAATATAGTTGGAAAAAAAGATAACCGGAAATAATACGAAAAAAAATATTTAGTAGGCCAAAATATTACCGAAAATTTATTAATTTTACTGAATGGGTGTTTGGTTGATGTTAAAATATTACTGGGAAAATATGTAACTTTTACGAAACTACCTTCTCTCGTAATAAATCACTTTAAACATGATGTTTTAGAAACAAAATTCATTAAACAGATCCATAAAACAACAGTGCATTATGAACCACGATGGAGATCTGGACGTGCACAAGGTTAGGCAAGTTTCACGGCCTGCATCATGAAGTTAGATGGAGATCTGGTTAACGATTTGTGAAACAACTTATGCTAGGGCTCATAAGGGTATTTTTGTCTGCAAAAAATGTAAATGGATACCCAATAGGCAGGTATAAAAAATTACCATGTTGAATGAGGTATTTTTTTTTGCCTATCGGTAGTGTTAAATGGATACCTGGTCACAAAATATTCCAAGGAAAAATTTATGTTTTTCTTGTATCAAATATGGGTATAAATAATTCCCACTATCAAATTCCTGGATATCCATTTTATTACCATGTACCAAACAGCCCCCAAAGGTATTATAATTTATACATATATGTTTTCAAAAAAAAATATTATACATACATTAATTGTTTATTTTCTTTTAGACAAATATATGTATATATTTGTTGATGTTGAAAATTGGAAAAAATAGGAATCAATTGAAGCATCAAGATTATGACCCAATTAATTTGGAAATAATGGATGATCATTCAACTAGTTGGGTTTTTGAGGAGTCACCATCATCATTAACCGATGAAGAGGCAAGATCTTTGAGGAATAATACCATTGAACCAATTATAGATAGTATTGGTATGTTTCTTTATGATTATAATTCTATTGTTTAATTTGATGATTTGATCATGTTATATTATTTATTAACTTAAATATAATATGTTATTGTAGATGAATTAAATTTAGATGAGGATGATATAGATGATGAACCTTATATGGCCATTGTACCCCAAAATAAAAGCAATGTTCCTCGAGGTTTGGATGGCAATAATGGAGAAGGACAAGGATAGCCTGGATTTGATAATGTTACTTTTCATTAACTCCATTAGAGTATGATATTTGTACTTTGGTATCATGATACTTTAATTAGGTTGTGTAATATTGACTTGTGGTTGTAATTGGTGAATTATGTTAAGTATATTCTGAATCTTTGGTAATTGATTGTTTATTTTTTAATATTTTCATATACGATATATATATATATATATATATATATATATATATATATATATATATATATACATAATTTTTTTAATATATAAAATTGGGTCAGCATAGTGACCCTGTGACCCTCCGGATAAACCCGTGACCCCTGACTTTGGTCGGGTCGATGGTCGGGCCGAGTTTTTAAACACTGGTTATATAAATTATTTACTAATACCTTATCGGTTTTATTGTTAACATTTGATAAATGAATATAGGAAAAATAATTTTTTTTCCCGAGGAATGGGTAAAAATGTGTCAATTCATGCGAAATATATATCTAAGTTCTTAAAATCTGGGAGTGAACGGTGATTTCAATATCAGAATGTACCTGATTTATATAAGGCAAATCATAATATATGATTTTCCTGTGGTGATCCGAGTATGTCTTGATGTGGAAAGCCAAGGTCTTGATGAGTGTAGCCAAGCATTGTTGGAAGAGCCAATGTTTGAGGAGAAGCCAAGCATTGATGAACCCTATGAATACTCGATGAAGCTTCTCCACGAGGGGGGAGAATGTGGATGAGATGTTGAGGAATCCAAGTATGAATGATTGAGTGAAAAGTTCCATATTGGTTAAGAATGAACTAAGTGATCACCATATAAGTGAATGGACCCATGCACCTAATGCCTTAAGGTTTTGGGTTTGATTGTGGTGTTCTAAGCCCACTTAACATTGCTGCTAACTTGGCCCATGGTTGGCGGTCTCTCCCCGCCATGAGCTCCCCGTGCACGACCCAATAAGTGGTATCAGAGCTCTTAGATTAAGGGCTCTCTGACGTCAAAGATGGAGGGTGTCGTAGAGCATGATGGTGAAGGAAAGAGCGATAAAGAGTGGGATCTCCTCAATCGGAAGACAGTTGCTATGATTTGTAAATACATCGACAAGAGTTTGTTCAAGCATGTATTGGCATACACAAATGCTCACGAGTTGTGGACGACGACTTGTGAAGCTAGACTACAAGGATAGACAAAGCATGATTGAGCACATGAACACATACAAAGGGATCGTCAATCAGCTGACAAAGATTGACATGAAGATTAATGACGAGTGCAAGCCCTCTTGCTACTCAGTTCGTTGCCTGAGAGTTGTGATACTTTGGTGGTGACACTTAGCAACTAGACCCCAGAACGAAAGATGACACTGGACTCGGCCCTAAAGGTCGGTCCAAGCCGAGGCCAGATACTCTCACATATTTCTACTGTGGAAAATTGGGTTATTAGAAGTCGGAATGCCAAACTTTGAAGAAGGATAAAATGATGGGCAATGTTAAGCCGAATATGATATAAATCATCCGAAGAAGAGTTAATAGCACAGCACCACGGCCGTAGTAGACAAGGTCGAGGTCAATGTCTTCTTGATTGGTAAGACAGCTATCTGAATGTCGCCTATGACGACTGTTCATATGTTGTGGACTCAGGAGCATCCTTCCATATCACACCCCACAATGAGTTCTTCTCTTTATACCAAGGCGAAAAATTTGGTATCGTGAAGATGGGTGACCAGGTTGCCAGCAAGATAGTGGGAGTTGGAGAAGTCATGATGATGACCGACATGAGCTATAGACTAGTTCTGAAGAAGGTAAGACATGTTCCCAACATGCGATTTAATCTTATCTAGGAAGGAAAGCTCGATGAAGCCAGGCTGGAAAATTACTTTGGTGGAGGAAGATGGAAACTTGCCAAAGGTAGATTAGGGGTAGCTCGAGGTAAGAAAAAAGGACTTCTCTATGTTGTGCAAGGGAAGGTCGGCGATGGAGAGACCAATACGGTGCAAGATGAACTAAGTTTGGAGCTCTAGCACAGATGACTTGGACACATGAGTGAGAAAAGTCTGCAAATCCTCGCCAAGAATGAATTGTTACCGAACTTGAAAGGTATAGAGACATGCATACATTGTCTAGCAAACAAGCAATGTTGAGTTTCATTCAAGAGACTGATCAGCGTAGAAGAAGGAAGTATGTTCTTGATCTTGTTCATACTGACGTGTGTTCTATGTCAGAAAAATCTCTAGGTGGTGCGTACTACTTTGTCACGTTTATTAATAGCCACACCAAAAGAGTGTGGGTGTTTTTACTGAACACGAAAGACCAGGTCCCTCAAGAATTCTAGGAGTTTCACGCAAGGGTAGAAAAGGAAACCAACAGAAAGCTAAAGGTCATTTGAGCTGACAACGGCGGAGAATATTGAGTTCCATTTGAAATGTACTGCAGGGCAGCAGGTATAAATAGAATCAGAATATCCGAAAATCTGAGGTGAAATAGAAGAACCGAGTTCCGAAAAGCAACAACAAACTTGACAATTCGTTCAAGTTAGACGTCTTTCCACTAGATATCCTGCAGACGAGTACACAGTTGTTGCAAAAGAAGGAGAGCCTCATAGTGGTGAAGAGTCAATGATTAGTGCTGAAAATTAAGAGTGGGAGAAAGCCATGCAAGATAAGATGACATCCTTGCAAGAGAATCACACCTTTGATCTGGTTGAGCTACCAGAAGGCATTTAGGCTTTGAAGAACAAATGGGTATACAAACTCAAGGTGGAGGAGAACAACGCGAAGCCGAGGTATAAAGCCTAGATTGTAGTAAAGGGGTGCAATCAAAATAAAGGCATTGACTTTGAGAAGATATTCTCACCAGCGGTGAATGTGACATTAATCCGAACTTTTCTAGGCATAGCGGCCACTTAAAACTTGGAAGTCGAACAACTTGATGTGAAGACGACCTTTCTTCATAGAGACTTAGAAGAAGAAATATACATGGAGCAACCTGAAGAATTTGAAGTTCCGTGTAAAGAACATCTGGCACACCGACTTGAAAAAAACTTGTATGACATGAAGCAAGCACCCCGGCAGTGGTACAGAAAGTTCGAGTCCTTCATGACTCATCATGACTTCAAGAAGATTCAAGCACATCACTGTGTGTTTATCAAGAGGTATGATGCCGACTTCATCATCCTCTTGCTCTACGTAGATGACATGCTAATAGTGGGGAAAGACACGAGGAAGATTAATGCCCTCGTAAAAGCCTTGAGAAAGTCTTTCTCTATGAAGGATCTCGACCCAGCAAGACAGATTCTCGAGATGAAGATTGTTCGAGATCGCTCAAGGAAGCTCTTGGGCTATATCAGGAGAAGTACATAGAGAAAATCGTGAAAAAGTTCAATATGGAGCAATCCAAGATGGTCAGTACTCCTCTGGTTGGACACTTCAAGTTGAGTTAGAAGCAGGTTCCAACCAATGATGAAGAAAAAGACAAGATATCAAAGGTCTCATGTCTGTCATATGTAGGTCATCTTATGTATTCCATGATATGCACAAGGCCCAACCTTGTTCATGCAGTCGGGGTTATAAGTCGATTTCTATCAAACCCGAGTAGGGAGCATTGGGACTTCGTTAGGTGGATATTCAGATATCTTAAAGGTACGGTTAATAGGTGTTTGTTCTTTGGGAGAGGAAAACCCGAGTTAGAAGCGTACTCAAATGCTGACCTGGGTGGAGATGACGACTCGAGGAAGTCGATTACATGTTACCTGACTACCTTTGCAGGGGGAGCTATTTCTTGGCACTCCAAACTTCATAAGCGTGTCTCCCTGTCCACTACCGAGGCAGAGTACATTGCTGCAACTGAGGCATGCAAAGAGCTAGTATGGATGAAGAGTTTTCTACAAGAGTTCAGCTATAGTCAAAAGAAGTATGTGCTAAAGTGTGATAACAAGAGTGTTATACACTTAGCGAAGAACTCAGCATTCCATGCATGGTCAAAGCACATAGATGTGTGGCACCATTTGATTCGAGATGTGATAGAATAAAAGTTTCAGTAACTTGACAAATTCCATACCAACTTGAGCTGGTCGTACATGATGACCAAGACAGATCCAACATGGAAATTTGAAGATTTCAGCGAAAGTGCCAGGTTGACTACCCCGGTTTCATACCCTGAATGAGGGGGAGCCCGGATATCCTCCCTCTTAGGCACGGAAGGGGAGTTTGTTAGGTCTGTGGCCTATGATGGACTCGACCTAGATTAATGGGTGCCTTAATCTTTTGTTTATAAGAGATGCTTAGATGCTGAGCCGTCAGGAGAGAGAAGAAGAAAAAAAAGAGAGAAACGCGCAAGAGAAAAGCGCAAGTCAGAGGCGAAGATTCTCTGAGGAAGAAACCCAGCGCTATCGCTGAAGAAGAAGACTATCCTGTAGAGTAGGATTCTCGATCGCCTTTACAGAGATAAATACTTGTGCGAGACACTTGTAAGTAAACCCATCCTTTAGAGGTGAAGTCCTTTGGTTATTGAAATAAAGAGAATCTTTTGTAAATCTCATTATTTATAATGGACAATTTTTTGGACTTGGTCCCGTGATTTTTCCTCTTCACATCAAAGAAGTTTTTCACGTTAAAAATTCTTGATATTCTCTTTCTCTTTATCTCTGTTTTATTTTTGATTTGTTATTACTGTTCACCAACGTTTCCGCAAGCCAACTTGTGAAGGCCGAGCTAATTGAATCTAAAACAGGGCTCAAAATTGCCGGGCTCCGAGACACAACATCATCACACCCTTTAATTTGTAGTGAAGATTTAACTTAGAGTTCCGCCATTACCTACAGTAGCAGGCATACAAGCATAAATTATCGAATATTCTCTAAGGAGCAATACATTGTGAAATTGAAAAAAAAAAAGGCGGACATGCATATACAAGACTAATTTAGTCATATCATTCTCTTCATTTTTCTATCTTTTTTATTGGGCTAAGAATGTGGATATTTCAATATAGTGCAAACTCAAACATGTAATTATTCTCCCTCCTAAGTTTCGAGTACGTTATGCCGAGCACAGGGTCCCTTGGATGTTTGGCTATTTAAGGGAAATAGATGTATCATGTTACATAGAAAATTGGTTGTGTCATGCTATAGACACAACCAATGTGAACCCCACCACTTTTAAAATAAAAAGAAAAGAAAAGAAAGAGGTGGGGTCCACATTGGTTGTGTCTATAGCATGACACAACCAATTTCCTACAAGATAATATATCTATTTCCCAACATTTAAACATAAAAACTCTCTACTTAGAGTGTGTTGTAATAATGTCGTATACATTTTTTATTCAATTGATGAATAATCTAAGTAAATAAATTGAATCGAAGAAGATAGGTCCTTGAACGGTAAGGGGCAGCATCACCGTACAAGGAGCCTCCTCTGTTGGAATTGGCCGACATTGAAATTGAAGAAGGAGAATATGGAACTCTTTTTGTGCACATAGACAAAATTGGAAAATCTAATTCCTCCCAATTCAAATTGACTAATTTGGCATTTGGGGTTTGATGTTTGTCTTTTTAAAGGATATAAAATTGAGTATTTTTTAGTAAAAGAATGAGATATACGATGGAAATCATATGAGAAGAAAGTGAGTGGTTTTTTTAATTTAAATTTTATATAAAAAACATTAATTTTAATTAAAATGTTCATCCTTTAAAAGGACAAATATTTTCCCTTACTTTTAATATACAGAATAGATTTATTCCTAACATTTATTTGTCAGATTCATATAATATTCAAAGAACATATTATATTTAAAAAGCATCGTAAGTGGGCAATTGGCGCTTGGGAATAGAATTTTCTTGTAGTAATTGAATAACATTGTTGATTTAATAAATAAATTCAATTTACACAAAAATATAACGGATAAAAAAAATCGTAGTTTGATTTCATAAAGCATGGTTATATAAAAAAATTATTAATATCTTTTTTTTATATACATGTAAATTTTATTAATATCTTATATGTTCTATTGTTGCCGTTTGGTAACAAAGTAGGAAAAACATAAAGATTTTATTTTTACTTTTTTACGAACAATGGTTAAAAATGTGTAAAAATCCATGCAAAACATATATCTAAAACAAGTCATTCTCTAAACCTGCGAGTCAATGGTGATTTATGTATCATAATATGTAAGAATTATACCAGGCAAATCATCATAATCAAAATGTAATACTTGGAGTGAACAGAACCACAAGGGTATTCATCATAATCCCACGGTGAAAGAAAAGGGGAGGGGGAGGATATTGAACAATGGGGATAATCGTCATATTGTAGTTACGATCATGAAAAACTGTTGCTCGTTCTTCAGACTGCTTCCACGACAATGAATTGGTAATGGAAAACTTGTAACCCTTGTGCATGATCAATGCCAACAATCGAGCAGTGTTTTTGGCATCATCAAGTCCAGAATGAGCACGACCCTCCCATTCCAATCCAGCTATCTCAACAGCTTTCTTTAATTTGCACCTCATATCACCAAACACCTCATGGAAAGGAACCCGTAAGTCGATCCACATGTTGAAATAAGCAGGCTTTGGTATCTTCTTGAATTTGCACTCAGATTCAAGCATTACCTGACAATCGCAGATAGACCATGTGACAACAGCAAAGTTGGAGTTCTTTATCCCATTGATTTCAAGCCATTCATCGTGCATGAGTAGAGCCTCGTCCAATGTAACTCCGCTATCCACCTGATCTTGTTGTATACCAGTAAGATCCTTGCAGAAATCAGTCAGAATTTGATTATGAGTATGCCTCACATATGTCTGGAAACATGCTTTTGTTTGGCCAGTGACACCACTCACTATGACGGATGGAAACTCAATTATTTCTTAAGGGTGGGGATTTTTATCCTTGTCGCAAGTAGCCTCAAAATCTATGACCACAAAATAATCAAATACCTGAGGAACCTTGGGAGAGTTAAGATGACAGGTTGTCCTTATGTTGCAATCATTGGAAGACTCAAGAAACTCACAGCCAAAACGAGGCCCACGTCTAACGAACACTTCCATAGAACTCTGCTTTCTCTGGAATTTGCAATGTAAATGTTTTCGGTGCTCCATATTTTCAAAACAGTTGGAATAACACAGATTTATACATATGATAGTCGAAAGCTGAATCCTATTTATAGAGGAAGGAGAATAATGATAATCACTATAGAAGATTTTATTAGATAATAGAAAATTTTAAATAAGGAAACAAATCCATATCAAAACCAATCTTAAAAGATCTTTTACGATATTCTAAATTATTTAAATTTTTGATATAAGGAAGACGTCGTTTGACATTTTCTATTTAAATTAATAAGGATAAAGATAAAGTTAAAGATAAAAATATGCAATAATTAAGTTAAAACTAAAGATATAAATAAACGATGATATTTTTCCTAAAATTAATGAAAATTTCAAAAGATAAAAAAACTAGAGTTAAGAAAAGATATGATTAACTAGTTACAATCAATTAGCATAAAATTTTAAAGATAAATAAACAATTACGATTATATTAATATCATAAATAAAGGAAAGGTTAATATAGAAAACTTGAAAGTTATCTCCTAAAATTTAGGAGAGTTTCAAAAGATAAATAAGTTAGAATTATAGAACTATAAAATTAACTGATTAAAGGAAAGAAAAGTAACATTAATTACAATCAATTAACATAAAAAGCTAAAAGATGAATAAATGATGGGTTCACTTTTTCTACCGTCAATGTAGATAACTTATCTACATTGAGATCAAAACGACGTCATTTTGAGGCGAAAATCAAGTTATTTTTGTAATTATAATTTGTTTTAGGGTTATAATGATCTTTTTCATTATAAATTTTTACTTTTTTAACCCAAAACGATGTCGTTTTAGAAGCAAATATATATAACTTATCTACATTCAATGTAAAAACATTAATGCCATAAATGATTATAATTAAATCAAGGCTTTAACATTTTTACGGTGAATGTAGATAAGTTATCTACATTCACTCCCAAAACTATGTTGTTTTTGGTTAGAAGATTAAAAAATTATAAGTAGAAAAACTGTTATAACCTTGAAATAAATTATAATTACAAAAATACCTTGATTTCTGTCAAAAAACAACGTCATTTTGGACTCAATGTAGATAAGTTATCTACGTTGACCGCAGAAAAAATGAATCCTTAAATCAATATGATATATAAAGAAAAAACATATTATAAGAAACTTAATAATTAATTAAATTCAAAATAGGGATAGGATATTATGACACACAAATAATGTTATGCACAATGTTACGACCACATCTTAACCGTTGATTTCCGCCAATCAACGGTTATCATTTTTCAAATCAAACTCATTAATTAATTTTTAATTCGCAATAAATGATAACCGTTGATTGGCGGAAATCAACGGTTAAGATGTGGTCGTAACATTGTGCGTAACATTATTTATGTGTCACAATATCCTATCCCTTGAAAATATATTCAAATTTTATCTTTCATAATATTTTGGAATGTATATTATAAATTATTTATTTAAATATATAATTTAGACATCCTTGAATTATTTTATTATAACGAAAACATTGTTTGACTTTTTTATATTTAAATTATAAGGCTAAAGATAAAGCTAAATATATAAAAAATATAAATTAGAGTTTCAACAGATAAATAAATTAAAATTAAAGAAATATAAGATTAACTGACTAAAAAGGAAAGAAAAGTGACATTAACTGCTTGATAAAAAAAAAAAAGTGACATTAACTACAATCAATTAGCATAAAATCTCAAAAATGAATAAATAATTACAATTAGATTAAAATAATAAATAGAGGAAAATTTATCATAAAAAACTCGACAATTTGTTAAATTCAAAATATATTCAAATTTTATCTTTCAAAATATTTTGAAATGGATATTCTAAATTACTTAAATATATAATTAAGACATTCTTGAATTATTTTGATATAACGAAGACATTGTTTGACCTCTTTATATTTAAATTATAAGAGTAAAAATAAAGTTAAAAGATAAAAATATTCTAAAATTAAGGCAAAACTAAAGATATAAAAGAAAATGAAAGTTATCTTCCAAAATTAAGGAGACTTTCAAAAGATAAATAAATTAAAATCAAAGAAGGATAAGATTAATGATTAAAGGAAAGAAAAAAAAACTGACTAAAGATAAAAATATCCAATAATTAAGATGACTTTAATGTTTCGATAGTGAATGTAGATAAGTTGTCTAAATTCGCTATTAAAACGACGTCGTTTTGGGTATAAAAATAAAAAGATTATAATAAAAAGACTATTATAACCCTAAAATAAATTATATTACAAAAATACTTTGATTTTCGTCTCAAAACGACATTATTTTGGACTTAATGTAAATAAATTATCTACATTGATTTTAGAAAACGCGAATCCAATTAGGATAAAATTAAAGATATAAATAAATGATGATATTTTTATCCTAAAATTAAGGAAAATTTCAAAAAATAAAAAAGTTTAGAAAAGATAAAATTAACTAGCTACAATCAATTAGCATAAAATTCCAAAGATAAATAAATAATTATGATTAAATTAATATAATAAAAAAGAAAGGTTAGTATAGAAAACTTGACAAAAAAATTAAATTCAAAATACATTAGCATTTTATCTTTCAATTTTTTTTGAAATGTATCATAACAATTACGATCAAATTAATATAATAAATAAATGAAAAGTTAATATAGAAAACTTGACAAAAGAAATAAGTTCAAAATATATTAAGATTTTTTTTTGAATATTTTGGAATGGATCATGACTTTGATTTATCTAAATTTTTATAATTGTACAAACTAGAGTAAATAACTCTGCCCCGATTCCCCGTGTGTTATTTAATAATCATGTCATGCTAGAGTTGATTTTGTAGCTTCATATCACTGTATTTTTTTCTTCTTTCGATCCTTATTACCATTGATTTTTACCCTTATAAAATTAGGATGCTCTCATATAACATGGTCATATAAAACATATAAAATAACACATGAGAGGATCCGGTTTCAATAAATTTTCTAGGAGACTATAGACTATTTAAGATATAATTAATAAATTATTAAATGAATATCTCCATTTATAAATAAGGCAAAGTGATTAAAGTCAAATTAAACAAAAAAATGGAAGTCTTGTTATAAAACTAAAGGATAACAAGAACATAGTGAAGATAATAGAAAAAGAAAATTAGGACAAGAATAAAGGAGGATAATTTCTATTGTAATGTCATGTCTGTTGTACATGTCTTGATTTATAAGCTCTTATTACATTGTAAGTTACAACGGAAAATAATTAATAATTTTTGAGGAGTTACATTTTGGAATAATGTCTCTAAGAGTTATAGACATCCAAAAATATATATTATTTATAACATTTCCTCTTGATGTCCATTAAAATAATGTACCTCGTTAAAACCTTACTAGGAAAAAATCATACGACAAAAAAATCTTGGTGAAGGAAAAGAGTATACATTTCTAATAATATGTATTGTAAACTGTCTCGTTAAAAACCTTATCAAAAAACCCAATGGGACAAAACCTCGGTGAAGGAAAAAAAAAGTGTTGTACATATTTTATCTCCCTTGATTAGAACATCATTTAATGTCTCTGAGTCTACAAATTTCAGTCTCATTTACAAGCTTATCAAAATTTGAATTAAGCAATGTCTGCTAAATTATCTCTTGTTGAACGCCATGAAATAGTTGTGTTTGCACTTGTGATTGAAATCTTGTTGGTCAGTCATAGCTTGCATTATTATTGTTTTAGTAGGCATGGTGTGCAAGGGCACAAACAAAGAGTGGCTCCTGGCAGGTTTCCAGCGGCGCGAGTACATGAACGAATCAAATTAACACCCGAAAGAGAGGGATTCTAAAGACTGTGCTGGTATGAGACAATACAGTTGGGAATAGCTTATAAGAATTAATTAGTACTACCTATACTAACAAGATGCATCTACTTTTCAGTAGCCCGTAACAGAAAAACTCCATAATTAAGCGTGTTTGACTTATAGTAATCCTGGGATGGGTGACCTCTTGAGAACTTTTTCCGGAAAGTGTGCGAGTGAGGATAAAACATGCTGAAAAGTCTCGTGTTAGTGTGTGGGGATAGTCATTAATTCTTGATGCGGCCGGGCGTTACAAGTGGTATCAGAGTAGGGAGAGTTGCAGTAATTATGAGATGAGTGACCTCCTGAAAAGTTTTTCCGAGAAGTGTGCGAGTGAGGACAAAGCATGCTGGAAAATCTCGTGTTACTGTGTGGAGATAGTCATTGTTCTTGAAGCGTCCAGACGTTACAAACAACATCCATTAAATGCATGTCAATTTTTCATGCACTGTCACACAAATAAGATATTTGGAGGCAATTGTATCTAACACGGGAGAATTTATTTCATGTAATAAATGCTAAACTTTTGTGAAAATTATTTTGCTACAAGTCATTTTTTATATCTTACAACTTCATTGTTTTATTACAATTTTGCACATTTATACCCCACTGGCTTTACACCTTTATGTTGGGCAATTATTTTTCCATTTACATTCGTCAACAAATTTAGCTTCAAGATCCTAATCTTGTTTCATTATTTCAAAAAATATTGTCAACAATTATATCTTTACGGTTCCAACTTTTTTGTGTAATGACGTAAGTGATAAAGATATCTTCATTTTCATTATTTTTTGTGTAATGACGTAAGTGATAAAGATATCTTCATTTTCATTATTTTCATGTACCCAAACCTCCCTTAACGTTTAACAAAAGTTATGTCTTCAGGATTAACAATTGTCTCCATATTGGACCATCTTAAACATTTGCCCCTTTCCCCTTTTTTTTGAGGATTTTAATCGTTAGAACCAATCATTTTTCTATGTTTTAGTTTTATTTGCACTCGTAGATTGTCCTGTTGAGACATCAATTTGAATATGAGCATTTACAGTTGGAATGTTAGACTCGTTGGTCAGTCAAACAATTTGGCATTTGATGTATAATATATTTTTCTCATAATTGTTTTGTGCAAGGATCTATATAAGATAATGATAATGCATTTTGATTAATATTTTTTTCAATTGCTTATTCTCTCCCCCCTCATGTTGGAAATATTGATAACAATAAGCAAATAATAATTTAACTAAATCTCTGGTCATTATTTCAAGATATTATAGGAGATTCATATCCAACGTATATTTTCAACTTTAATTGGGGGGCTTATCTTTGTGCATTGCGGTGGAGTAATTGGAACATTCATCGCATATCAACAAATTATAAGATTGTAAATATTTGACTCCTGATCATAAGCCAATTGTAATGGAGAGAATTAACAAGGAGTAGTACATGAATATTCACCTGTTGTCCATCAACTATGCCTTATGATAACTTGTTGGCTTGTTGCATATAATTGATGGTGCATAAAATATTTTACATGACACACTCATATTAAAACAAGATATAAAATATAAATTTCTCAAAATATTAATCATTCAATTTTTTTTAACCAAATCAGTTCATTAAAATATAAAGTTATTACCAAAATTTATTGATATGAAAGAATTAGGTGATTTTTTTAACTATTGTGATGCTTTTGATAATTTTTTTTTTAAATTTCAAACTAAACCTTTACAAAATTAATATAACGACATCCAAATAAATAAATAAAAAACTGAATATTAATTGAAAAAAAGAGATTACATACTCTTTTTGGTCCTCAGCAAATTTCACGATGCCCGTTTTAGTCCCTAGCAAATAAAAAGACTCATCATGATCTCTAAGAAATTCAAAATGAACCTATTTAGTTGAAATCGTGGTCCCTCACAAATTTAAAAAAGATCCATATTAGTCTCTAAAAAGACTAAAATAGGTCCATTTTGAATTTCTTAGAGACCACGACGGACCTTTTTATTTGCTGGGAACTAAAACGAGTATCGTGAAATTTGCTAGATCAAAAAATGTATTTACTCGAAATTTTTTTGAAGAATTTTCCGAGAAACGAGAAGAGATACGCTAATATGTATGCATAATGGATTAGGACAAAACCAAAGGGCAAAATGGTAAAACATCTTTTTTGGTAGACTCTACCTGCGCCTGCACAGTACAAAAGACACTGAGTCAGTTCTCACTATTTATACTCCATTCTTTGCTTCTAAAAGGGCTAAACTTACTTTGTGTAGAAATTAGAATTTTATAGCCACCAGCACCGTGATTCCCAACCCCAACTCCTCCGTTTCTTTTGATTTCGCTCATCTCTCTCTCTCTCTCTCTCTATTTTTCTCTTTTTTTCTTCCCACTCCGGATGTGTATGCACTTGCTCCTTTTTCTCTCATCTCTCAGGTATATATGTATCTCTTTTTCATCACCACACACTTTTCCGATTATCACTACCGATTATTTATTTATTAATTTATGTGTGATGAACATGATCTATTTATTATTATTAATATTTTTTTTTATTTTTTTTTGTGTTCAGAATAAATTTATGATTCTCTTTCAATTTCTATGCGTTCTGGCACCGGTTTAGTTTAGTGAAATTGAAGGATTCTGTGTTATCTTGTTTTTTATTGTTGATGTCGGTTTTTATTTGACCTTGTTATTGTGTGCTCTAGTTCAGAGTAGAGAAGTTGAGGTGAGATGACAACCCTAAGATCGAGTTGGCCGTCGAGGCTGCGGCAACTTCTATCCAGCGAGGGCGCCATTGGCCCATCCATTAAATTGGACTCTGAACCTGTCAGTTTTCTCTCTCTAACACTCATGTTTTTTTTTTTTCATTTTACTTGTGATTAGGGTTCAACTGGATCAATTTTTAACTAAACCTAACCCATTTATGATATATACATATTTAAAATTTTTAATCGCCATCTCATTCATCTTATCTAATAGGGAAATGCATTTTCAAAGGTTTTGTATTTAGTTCTTAGGTGGCTGTGTCTGTTTAGTTCTTCTACGATTTCCAATTTTTTATTTTTTTTTGCTGGTACAGCTTGATTGGTTGTTTCTGAATTTTTTGTTTGTTTTGTTTAACAAACTCTTGGATCTGAAGTTCGTGATGCTCTATTATGCATGAGTGGGAAAAATAAATGGAGTAGATAGGCGTCCTTCATGAATTTAGCATTGACAGATTTAGAATAGCATGTGCTTTTAGTTAATAATTGAAATGGCACCGAGTAATAGGGGAGCGTTTGGCTAAAGTAGAAAAATGCTTTTGGTTTAAAAAGGCTCTTTTTAAGAGAAGTTAAACATCTCAGCTTTTAGGGAAGTGAAAAGGCAGCAATATGGTTTTTTGTTTCCCCTCTTCTCTTTAACCTTTTCAGGAGCTGAAGTTTATAGCTTTTCCAGAAGTTATATTTTCCACAAAAAGAAGATAATTTTTTTGCTGGAAGTAACTGTGTTTAGCTCGAGATTGATTTTATAGCCCCAAGGAAACCAATATTACATAAAATCAAATCAATAGTCTCTGATTTATAAATTTATTGTCTGTTGCATTGCGGTTGTAGTTTATATTTTGTTTGTTGGTGTGTTTGAATAGAAAATTGAGCTAGTTAACTCTAGCTTAAGATTGACATAATAAGTTGTCCAAAAACCATTAATCTCTTCACTAAAGAAGTTATCAAGCAAGCTTAAATAGCATCATTGCATGTTTGGGAAAGATTAATTTTGGGGGATTTTATTTTATTTTTTCAAAATTGATTCTCTACTTGTCTTTTTTTTTTTTGGATTGAATTTAATTTTTTAAATTTGTTTAGCTTTCTTCCACAACAATGAACAATGTCATACAGGATGTCTATGAGGCAGCTACTTTGCAAAAGAAAATTGATGTTTTTCTTTTTAAAATCCAAAGGAGCTGTTATACTATTCATTACGTAACATCCAAAATATAGCAAATATAAATCATGTGTTGACAAGTATGCTACTTAGGATTTGATGAGGATGTGCTGTCATTGTGTATAACTGGCATATTTGAATTGCTCATTCAGTTAGTCTTTCACTCATTTGCTAGTAATTGTTTGATCAACATGTGAATAAGTGATGCTCGTAAAAGATTGTGATATGCTTAATTTTGTATGTTTGGTAATATGTATGGAGCCTCCTGGATGCATTTTTGTTGTGTGGCCCAAACTGTGTACTAGATTTGATTAAATGTTATTGATGAGCTATAGCATCCTCCTTTAGTTTCTGAGCATTAATCAGTTGTTAATATATAATTGCACATGCGTTGCACTTCCAATGAAATTGGTGTTCAGGTTAAAAACATGTGCTAAAAGTATGGTAATTCTCATATTACTTCCTGGTAATTATCTGTTTTTTAAACTTTTTATGTATATGTCATAGACTTAATGTAGGCATTTCATGTTTTATATGATGACATTTTCATATTCATGAATGTGAATTTATGCATATGGAAGTACCAATGTGAGTGCTTACTTAGAGAATGAGGAAGTATAGCAGCTTCTGGCTTTTTCCGGTTTTGGGTTCTGTATTTTTGTTTTTTACTTTTATTTTTAATTTTTGTGCATACATTTTTTTCAGTGATTCCTAAGGCTGTTTGTTTAAATTTTGTGTGCTCGGTATGCACATGCTCCTTTTGGCAAAAGTAACGTTCATGCTGATGCTTTTCTTGTTGTAAAACTGAGTAGTACTAGTATTATTTATTTATTTGTCTAAATTGATTAATAGTGTTGTTCCTTTTTCAAAATTGAGTATCATGAATGATCGATAATACTTAAATTCACACGTTTTGAAGTTTGCTTCTATTGCATTGCACAATTTCTATTCTTAGATCCACATGTTTATGGTTGCATGTGCAATTATGTCTATACACGTTTCTTCAAAATCGTGATTGTTAATGCTTGAACTCACACTTGCCTGGAATTCTAATGGCTTAGGTTTTTTTCTATCATTTCCTCCCTCCTTACCCATGTAACCTAGTCGATATTTTGCAATTGATTGATTTCAGCCTCCTAAGATCAAAGCCTTCACTGAGAAAGTCATACAGTGTCCATTACAAGATATAGCTATACCACTCTCTGGCTTTCGGTGGGAGTACAATAAGGTAATACCATGATAATTTTGCTGCATATGGTTATTTATTCCCCCCCCGATTCTTATATATTGCTTTTACATCAGGGGAATTTTAATCACTGGAGGCCGTTGTTACTTCATTTTGACACATATTTCAAGACATATTTGTCATGTCGAAATGACCTGACATTGGCAGAGAATCTAGAAGATGACATCCCATTACCAAAACACGCAATTCTGCAAATATTACGGGTGATGCAAATAATTTTAGAGAACTGTGCAAACAAGAGTTCATTCGATGGCTTAGAGGTATATTGTAGAGAAATTATGTTCTATTTTAAATCTAGTCTGAATTCATTTTCTTTTCCTTTATTTTAATCTTGTAGTTTAGTCAAGTGACTCATTCTTTTATTATCTGATACTATTATTTTCTAATAGATCTCCCTTCCTTTTCAGCACTTCAAGCTTTTACTAGCATCAACAGATCCTGAGATTATTATTGCAACATTGGAAACTCTTTCTGTGCTTGTAAAAATAAATCCCTCCAAGCTTCATGGAACTGCAAAGATGGTTGGCTGTGGTTCGGTGAACAGCTATCTCCTGTCCCTAGCACAGGGGTGGGGAACCAAGGAGGAGGGCCTGGGATTGTACTCTTGTATTATGGCAAATGAAAAAGCCCAAGATGAAGCACTATGTTTATTTCCTTCTGATGTAGAGAATGGTAGTGATCAATCCAATTACCGCATAGGTTCTACCCTTTATTTTGAATTGCATGGATCCAGTGTCCAAAGCAAGGAACAAAGTGTAGATACAGTTGCATCAAGTTTGAGAGTTATACACATGCCAGATATGCATTTACGCAAAGAAGATGACTTGTCGATGTTGAGGCGATGCATTGAGCAGTATAGTGTTCCTCCTGAGCTCCGATTTTCATTGCTCACTAGAATTAGATATGCTCGTGCCTTCCGGTCTCCGAGAATAAGCAGGCTTTATAGCAGGATTTGCCTTCTCGCTTTCATTGTGTTGGTCCAGTCCAGTGATGCTCATGATGAGCTTGTGTCCTTTTTTGCTAATGAACCAGAATATACAAATGAATTGATTAGAGTGGTGCGATCTGAAGAAACCATATCTGGATCCATCAGAACACTTGCAATGCTTGCATTAGGAGCTCAGTTAGCAGCATACACATCATCTCATGAACGTGCACGGATACTGAGTGGGTCTAGTATGAATTTTGCTGGAGGGAACCGCATGATACTTCTGAATGTGCTTCAGAGGGCTATTTTGTCATTGAAGAGTTCTAATGATCCATCTTCCCTTGCTTTTGTTGAGGCACTACTTCAGTTCTATCTGCTGCATGTGGTGTCGACCTCGTCTTCTGGGAGTAATGTTAGAGGTTCTGGCATGGTACCCACATTCTTGCCTCTGCTGGAGGATTCTGATCTTGGACATATTCATCTTGTTTGTTTTGCAGTGAAAACCCTTCAGAAGCTTATGGATTATAGTAGCTCGGCTGTATCTTTGTTTAAAGAGTTGGGAGGTATCGAGCTTTTGGCTCAAAGATTACAGATAGAGGTTTACAGGGTCATTAATTTGGTTGGAGAAAAGGATAATGTGATGCTTACTGGTGAAAGCTCAACACACAGTACTGATCAGCTTTACGCTCAGAAGAGATTCATAAAAGTCTCTCTCAAGGCACTTGGATCTGCAACATATGCCCCTACAAACTCTGCCAGACCTCAACACTCTCATGACAATTCATTACCTGCGACTCTAGTCTTGATTTTTCGGAACGTGGATAAGTTTGGAGGTGACATTTATTACTCAGCTGTTACTGTTATGAGTGAAATAATTCACAAAGATCCTACATGTTTTTCTGCTCTGCATGAAATGGGTCTTCCTGATGCTTTTTTATGTTCAGTTAAATCTGGAATACTTCCTTCATCAAAGGCTTTGACATGCATTCCAAATGGAATTGGGGCCATTTGTCTTAATGCCAAAGGCCTAGAGGTTGTAAGAGAAAATTCATCTCTGCAGTTCCTTGTTGACATCTTCACGAGCAAAAAGTATGTATTAGCTATGAATGAGGCTATTGTTCCTCTCGCAAATTCTGTGGAGGAGCTCTTACGACATGTATCTTCATTGAGAAGTACTGGTGTTGACATTGTTATTGAAATTATGCATAAGATTGCATCATTTGGAGATGGTAATGTTACCGGATCTTCAGCAAAAGCTAATGAGGGTAAGGGTAGTGTAATGGAAACAGATTCTGAAGACAAAGAAAATGAAAGTCATTGCTGCCTCTTAGGCACAGCAGAATCCGCTGTTGAAGGGATAAGTGATGAGCAGTTTGTTCAGCTATGCATCTTTCATTTTATGGTGTTGGTTCACCGGACTATGGAAAATTCTGAAACTTGTCGACTATTTGTGGAAAAATCAGGAATTGAAGCTTTATTGAAGTTGTTATTACGACCCACTATTGCACAATCCTCAGACGGCATGTCAATTGCTTTGCATAGCACCATGGTATTTAAGGGTTTCGCTCAACATCACTCTGCTCCTCTGGCACGTGCCTTCTGTTCCTCTCTTAGAGAGCACTTGAAGAATGCTTTAACTGGATTTGGTGTAGCTTCCAGATCTTTGTTGCTGGATCCAAGGATGACCACTAATAACAGCATCTTTTCTTCACTTTTTCTAGTTGAGTTTCTTCTCTTTCTTGCTGCATCGAAAGATAACCGTTGGGTGACTGCGTTGCTTACAGAATTTGCAAATGGCAGTAAGGATGTTCTTGAAGACATTGGACATGTCCACCAAGAAGTTTTGTGGCAAATTGCACTGCTTGAAAATACTAAGCCTCAGGTTGAGGATGATGGTGCTTGTTCTTCTACTGATTCACAACAGGCAGAAATGGATGCAAATGAAACTGAAGATCAGAGGTTCAATTCTTTCAGGCAGTTTCTTGATCCATTATTGAGAAGGAGGACTTCTGGATGGAGTATAGAATCACAGTTTTTTGACCTTATAAACCTGTATCGAGATTTGGGCCGTGCCACTGGTTCTCAGCACCGATTAAGTTCTGTTGGTCCTTCAAACAGGCGATCAGGTTCCAGTAATCAGTTGCATTATTCTGGATCTACGGACACTTCTGGGGCTGCTACTAAGAAGGAATGTAACAAGCAGAGGACATATTATACCTCTTGTTGTGACATGGTCAGATCATTGTCATTTCACATTACCCATTTGTTCCAAGAGTTAGGAAAAGTAATGTTGCAACCTTCCCGCCGACGCGATGATAGTGTTAGTGTAAGTCCTGCTTCAAAATCAGTGGCTTCTACTTTTGCAAGCATTGCTCTAGATCACATGAATTTTGTGGGTCATGTAACAGAAGTGTCCATATCTACAAAATGTCGTTATTTTGGTAAAGTCATTGATTTTATTGATAGCATTCTAATGGAGAGGGCAGATTCTTGCAATCCCATTCTACTAAATTGTTTGTATGGGCGGGGAGTTATTCAATCTGTATTGACCACATTTGAAGCTACTAGTCAGTTGCTCTTTGCAGTTAATCGGAGCCCTGCATCGCCTATGGAAACTGATGATGGGAATGTGAAGCATGATGACAAGGAAGATACTGATCATTCGTGGATTTATGGTTCATTAGCTAGTTATGGTAAATTTATGGACCATCTGGTGACCTCTTCTTTTATATTATCTTCATTCACAAAGCACTTGCTTGCACAGCCCCTTATAAGTGGCGATACCCCTTTCCCACGGGATGCAGAGATATTTGTGAAGGTCCTCCAATCTATGGTGTTGAAGGCTGTGCTTCCAGTTTGGACTCATCCCCAGTTTGTTGATTGCAGTCCTGAATTTATTTCTACTGTTATTTCTATCATTAGGCATGTTTATTCTGGGGTTGAAGTAAAAAATGTAAATGGCAGCGGTAGTGCGCGTATTACTGGGCCTCCTCCTAATGAAACAGCAATTTCAACCATTGTAGAGATGGGTTTTTCCAGGTCTAGAGCAGAGGAAGCTTTGAGGCAAGTTGGGTCAAATAGTGTGGAGTTGGCTATGGAGTGGTTGTTTTCGCATCCAGAGGACACACAAGAAGATGATGAACTTGCTCGTGCACTTGCCATGTCCCTTGGGAACTCTGAATCAGACACTAAGGATACGGCTGCAAATGACAATGCCCAACAGCTTGAGGAAGAGATGGTCCAACTTCCTCCTGTTGATGAGTTGTTATCAACATGTACAAAACTTTTACAAAAGGAGCCTCTTGCTTTTCCTGTCCGTGACTTGCTTGTGATGATATGCTCTCACGATGATGGTCAATATAGGTCTAGTGTTGTCACTTTTATTGTTGATCGAATCAAGGAATGTGGATTGGTTTCTAGTAATGGAAATAATACCATGCTGGCTGCTCTGTTTCATGTTCTTGCTTTGATTCTTAATGAGGATGCTGTAGCACGGGAAGCTGCTTCAAAGAGTGGGTTGATCAAAATCGCCTCAGATATGCTCTACCAGTGGGATTCTAGTCTTGATAACCGGGAGAAGCATCAAGTGCCAAAATGGGTCACATCTGCTTTTCTTGCTATAGACAGGCTGTTGCAAGTGGATCAAAAGTTGCATTCTGAAATTGCAGAGCAATTGAAGAAGGAAGCTGTGAATAGTCAGCAGACATCAATTATTACCATTGATGAGGATAAGCAACACAAATTGCAGTCTGCATTGGGACTGTCTTCCAAGTATGCAGATATCCATGAGCAGAAGAGACTTGTTGAGATTGCTTGTAGTTGTATGAAGAATGAACTTCCCTCAGACACAATGCATGCTATTCTGCTACTATGTTCCAATCTTACGAGAAATCATTCCGTTGCCCTTACCTTTTTTAATGCTGGTGGTTTAAGTTTACTTCTTTCTCTGCCAACCAGTAGCCTCTTCCCTGGGTTTGACAATGTTGCTTCGAGTATTGTCCGTCATGTTCTTGAAGATCCACAAACTCTCCAGCAAGCGATGGAATCTGAGATAAAACACAGTCTTGTAGTAGCATCTAACCGGCATCCAAATGGAAGGGTCAATCCTCGCAACTTCCTGTTAAGTTTAGCTTCTGTAATTTCCCGGGATCCGATAATATTTATGCAAGCGGCTCAATCTGTTTGCCAAGTTGAAATGGTAGGTGAAAGACCGTACATCGTCTTGCTGAAAGATCGGGATAAAGACAAATCTAAGGAGAAGGATAAGTCATTGGAGAAAGACAAAGGACAGAATAATGATGGGAAGGTTGGTTTGGGTAATATAAACACAGGAGCTTCTGGGTATAGTCATGGAAAACTTCATGATTCAAATTCCAAGAGTGTCAAAAGTCACAAAAAACCTATTCAAAGTTTTGTTAATGTGATAGAACTTCTTCTTGAATCTATATGCACTTTCGTTGTCCCCCCTTTGAAGGATGACACTACCTCAAATGCCCTCCCTGCTTCCCCAACATCAAGTGACATGGACATTGATGTCTCTGCAATTAAGGGGAAAGGAAAAGCAGTTGCCACTGTATCCGAGGGGAATGAAACCAGCAGCCAGGAAGCTTCTGCATCACTTGCAAAGATAGTATTTATTTTGAAGCTTCTGATGGAAATATTATTGATGTACTCATCGTCTGTTCATGTTCTGCTTCGACGAGATGCTGAAATCAGCAGCATTAGGGGCTCCTATCTAAAGAGTCATGCTGGTTTAAGTGTTGGGGGAATATTCTACCATATTCTTCGTAATTTTCTTCCTTATTCTCGAAATTCCAAAAAGGACAAAAAAGTTGATGGTGATTGGAGGCAGAAACTGGCAACCAGGGCTAACCAGTTTATGGTGGCTGCTTGTGTTCGCTCTACAGAGGCAAGGAGGAGGGTTTTTACTGAGATTAGTCATATCATAAATGAATTTGTTGATTCATGTAATGGTCTTAAGCCACCAGGCAATGAAATTCAGGTTTTTGTTGATCTTCTTAATGATGTTTTGGCTGCTCGTACACCTTCTGGCTCAAGCATCTCAGCAGAGGCCTCAGCCACTTTTATGGATGCTGGTCTGGTTAAATCATTCACTCGTACTCTCCAAGTTTTGGACTTGGACCATGCTGACTCATCTAAAGTTGCTACTGCTATTATCAAAGCTCTAGAGTTGGTGACCAAGGAGCATATTCAGTCAGTTGATTCAACTGCTGGGAAGGGTGACAATCCAACAAAGCCTTCTGATCTTAGTCAACCTGGAAGAACAGATAATATTGGTCACATGTCTCAATCCATGGAAACAACTTCTCAGGTCAATCACGATTCCCTTCAAGTTGACCATGTTGGGTCTTACAATGCGATTCAGTCTTATGGTGGGTCTGAAGCTGTTACTGATGATATGGAACATGATCAAGATCTTGGTGGGGGCTTTGCTCCTGCTAACGAGGATGAGTACATGCATGAAACTACTGAGGAAGCCAGAGGTCTTGAGAATGGAATCGAAAATGTGGGGCTGCGGTTTGAAATCCAACCCCATGGCCAAGAAAATCTTGATGACGATGATGATGATGGTGATATGTCTGGAGATGAGGGTGAAGATGTGGATGAAGATGACGGGGATGATGAGGAACATAATGATTTGGAAGAAGATGAAGTCCATCACTTGTCACATCCTGACACAGATCAAGATGATCATGAAATAGATGATGATGATTTTGATGAAGTGATGGAGGAAGAGGATGAGGATGAGGATGATGAAAATGGGGTTATACTGCGACTTGAGGAGGGCATTAATGGAATTAATGTTTTTGACCATATTGAGGTTTTTGGAAGAGATAATAGTTTTCCAAATGAAGCTCTTCATGTGATGCCGGTTGAAGTTTTTGAATCTAGACGTCCAGGGCGGACCACATCTATTTACAGCCTTTTGGGCAGAACTGGTGATAATGCTACTCCTTCACGCCATCCACTTTTGGTTGGACCTTCTTCCTCATCTACTGGGCAATCAGGCTAGTTCCTTTATGAATTTCTTGATTTAATGCTTTATTGCATCAATGTTTTTATTTATTTATTCTTCTCTATTTCAATAATGACTTTTCTTTATCTTTTTTATTTATTTATTTTTAAAAATTTCCAGACACTATAACGGAGAATTCAGCAGGTTTGGATAATATCTTTCGATCACTGAGGAGTGGACGTCATGGACACCGTTTGAACTTGTGGAGTGATAATAACCAGCAAAGTGGCCGGTCAAACTCTGGCATTGTACCACAGGGCCTTGAGGAGTTGCTTGTCTCTCGATTGAGACGACCCACCCCTGAAAAGTCATCTGATAATAACATAGCAGAAGCAGGTAATCATAGTAAAGTTGAAGTCAACCAGATAAATGATTCAGAAGGTTCAAGGCTAGAAATCCCTGTTGAATGTCATGCAATTCAGGAAGGTGGTACGGTGACTCCTGCATCAATAGATAACAATAACAACAATGCTGATGTCGGACCTGCTGGAAATGGATCTTTGCAAGCAGATGTTTCAAGCACTCACTTACAGGCAGTTGAGATGCAGTTTGAGCATAATGATGCTGCTGTGCGGGATGTTGAAGCTGTGAGCCAGGAGAGTAGTGGTAGTGGGGCAACTTTTGGTGAAAGTCTTCGGAGCCTTGATGTTGAGATTGGAAGTGCTGATGGCCATGATGATGGTGGAGAAAGGCAGGTTTCTGCAGATAGGATAGCAGGTGATTCACAGGCTGCACGCACAAGAAGAGCAAACATTCCTTTAAGTCATTCTTCTCCTGTAGTTGGGAGAGATGCATCCCTCCACAGTGTTACTGAAGTTTCTGAAAATTCAAGCCGAGATGCAGATCAAGATGGTCCAGCAGCGGAGCAACAGGTGAACAGTGATGCTGGATCAGGAGCAATTGATCCTGCCTTTCTGGATGCTCTTCCTGAGGAGCTGCGTGCTGAAGTCCTCTCGGCTCAGCAGGGGCAAGTGGCTCAACCATCAAATGCTGGATCTCAAAACAATGAGGATATTGATCCAGAATTCCTCGCAGCTCTTCCTTCAGATATTCGAGCAGAAGTTCTAGCTCAACAGCAAGCACAGAGGCTACATCAATCTCAAGAGTTGGAAGGGCAACCTGTTGAAATGGATACAGTCTCGATAATTGCAACATTTCCTTCAGAATTACGTGAAGAGGCAAGTTTGTCAGTTGAATCCCTTTTTATGAAAGAGAGCTTGTCTCTGAAGAATTATTTTTTGCTTTGTTCAGGTTCTTTTAACGTCATCAGATGCTGTGCTTGCCAACCTTACACCTGCTCTTGTTGCTGAGGCTAATATGTTGCGGGAGAGGTTTGCACATCGATACAGTCGTACCCTCTTTGGTATGTATCCCAGAAGTCGTAGAGGTGAGGCATCTAGACGTGGCGAAGGTATTGGTTCTAGTCTGGATGGTGCAGGGGAAAGCATTACTTCACGCAGGTCTGGTGTAGCTAAGATTGTTGAAGCTGATGGAGCACCTCTAGTTGACACTGAAGCTTTGCATGCCATGATTCGGTTATTTCGCATAGTTCAGGTACTACTTGATGGTAGGAACTAGAAAGAAGTTTCTGAAAATGAGCTCAACTTTATTGTTTATAATTTGCTTTAAATTTTTGCAGCCACTATATAAAGGTCAGTTGCAGAGGCTTCTTTTGAATCTTTGTGCCCATTGTGAAACCCGAACTTCTCTGGTGAAAATTCTGATTGACTTACTAATGCTTGATGTAAGAAAGCCTGCCAGTTATTTTAGTGCAGTTGAGCCACCATACAGACTATATGGTTGTCAGAGCAATGTAATGTACTCTCGTCCTCAATCTTTTGATGGTAAGAAAACTTGATTAATCTTTATTTGTATCTTGTCCCTATTAACAGTTATCTTTGTTTTAATTTTCTGAAGCAACGTCCTGTTTAGCCAGTGCATGTAGTTTTGGGTTTATCTTCTTAATTAAGCCATATCTGAAAAGACTTTTGTCTTCTTATTCCACAAGCTTGTTTTCACTACTGACCATTTATATTATCTGCAAGATGCTTTTTTTTAAACGTTTAATGGTGGATGAGTTTACTAATACCTTGTATATTTGTTTGATTACATAGGAGTTCCCCCATTGCTCTCTCGGAGAATACTTGAAACTCTCACTTATCTTGCTCGTAATCATCCATACGTTGCAAAAATTTTGCTTCAGTTTAGGCTGCATTATCCTGCAGTAAGAGAACCAGATAATGCTGATGTTACACGTGGCAAAGCTGTGATGGATGTTGAAGATGAAGTAAATATCAATGAAAGTAATGAAGGATACATACCCATTGCAATGCTTTTGTGTCTCTTGAAGCAACCCCTTTATTTCAGGAGCATAGCCCATCTGGAGCAGGTAATGATTTGGTTATATTGCTATCTTTACTTTGTCTCATCCAATTTCGTGTACCTGCAGACAGTTAGTTTGCTGACTTGATTTGCTGTGTATTTGTTTTCAGTTGCTAAATTTACTGGATGTTATCATTGATAGTGCTGGAAGCAAGTCTAGTTCATCTGACAAATCTACTGGGCCAATCTTGGGACCACAAATTTCTGCAATGGAGGCAGATGGGAATACAAATTCTGTTATATCTTCTGGTCTTGATGCAGCTCCCAAAGTCAATGATTCCTCCAAACCGGCACCCTCTGGTAATAAGGAATGCGAAACTCAGCAAGTATTGAGTAATCTGCCACAAGCAGAACTTCAGCTCCTATGCTCATTGCTTGCACTAGAAGGGTATGATAATGGGCTTATGCTTGTAGATTGTGTTAATTCTGCTGTCTGGGTTTTGTCAGTATGCCTTGCTTAGGTGTATTTAGTTACCATCACGATGAACTCCTGACTTCTGGAGAGTGGTGGGAGTCATAAGATTCCTGTTATATGAGGTCCTGATTTTTGATTAACTCATTTCATTACTTGCATCTTGATATGTGTGTATTTATTTTCTTTTTATTATTATGCCACAATTTAAAGACCATATGGGTCTGGCTATTATTGTTGTAAAAACAATGTTGTGGATTTCATCTGATGTTTCTTGAATTCCTTCCAGTTTATCAGATAATGCATATGGTCTTGTTGCGGAGGTAATGAAGAAATTGGTGGCTATTGCTCCAATTCACTGTCAGCTTTTTGTCACTCATCTGGCTGCATCAGTTCAAAACTTGACTTCATCTGCAATGGATGAGTTACGCATTTTTAGTGAAGCAACGAAATCTCTTCTCAGTACAACATCTTCTGATGGTGCAGCAATTTTGAGAGTTTTGCAAGCCTTGAGTTCCCTTGTCACCTTATTGGCTGAGAAAGAGTGTGATGGAATAACTCCTGCTCTTTCTGAGGTTTGGGAAATCAATTCAGCATTAGAGCCCTTGTGGCATGAGCTGAGCTGTTGCATAAGCAAGATTGAGTCCTATTCTGAGTCAGCATCTGATTTTTTTACCCCTTCTAGAACGTCCGTGTCTAATCCGTCCACTGTCACACCTCCACTTCCAGCTGGTTCTCAAAATATCTTACCATACATAGAATCTTTCTTTGTGGTTTGTGAGAAGCTGCATCCTGCACAGTCAGGTGCTAGTCATGACGCAAGTGTTCCTGCTATTTCTGATGTTGAAGACGCGAGCACATCTGGTACTCAGCAGAAGACATCTGGACCTGCTATGAAATTAGATGAGAAACATGCTGCTTTTGTCAAGTTTTCGGAGAAGCATAGGAAGTTACTAAATGCTTTTGTCAGGCAAAATCCTGGCTTGCTTGAGAAATCTTTTTCCCTCATGCTGAAGATTCCAAGATTTATTGATTTTGATAACAAGCGCTCCCACTTCCGATCAAAAATTAAGCATCAGCATGACCATCACCATAGCCCATTAAGAATATCAGTAAGAAGGGCGTATGTACTAGAAGATTCTTATAACCAGCTTCGCATGAGATCAACTCAAGATTTGAAGGGAAGGTTGACTGTTCACTTCCAAGGGGAGGAAGGAATTGATGCTGGTGGGCTTACAAGGGAATGGTATCAATTGTTGTCCAGAGTTATTTTCGACAAAGGAGCACTTCTTTTTACTACAGTGGGCAATGAATCAACATTTCAGCCAAACCCAAATTCTGTTTATCAAACAGAACATCTATCTTATTTCAAATTTGTTGGTAGAGTGGTGAGTTCCTTTGCAACTGTTTTTAATGTTTGCTCTTGGTCATAGATGCTTCTTTCTTACCCCTTTCTACCTTATCCAGGTCGGAAAAGCATTATTTGATGGTCAGCTCTTGGATGTCCATTTTACCCGGTCATTCTACAAGCACATCCTAGGTGTCAAAGTTACATATCATGATATTGAAGCCATTGATCCTGACTATTTCAAAAATTTGAAATGGATGCTTGAGGCAAGTGCATTTTTGTAGCTTTCCTATCCACCCTATGACTCTATGAGTACCCTCTCAATTGTTATCTGCATCTTCATTTTGAAAATTGTTTCATGTTTATGGTATGATTGCAGAATGATATCAGTGATGATCTGGATCTTACTTTTAGCATTGATGCAGATGAGGAAAAGTTGATCTTATATGAACGAACAGAAGTACTGGCTTTTCTCTGAAACTTTTTGAGATGATACTAATATATTGTTCGATTGTGCATTGTTTAGTCTAATTTTGATGAACATGTCTAGGTGACTGATTATGAGTTGATTCCCGGTGGACGGAATATCAAAGTTACGGAGGAGAATAAGCATCAATATGTTGATTTGGTTGCGGAGCATCGGTTGACCACTGCTATTCGACCTCAAATAAATGCTTTCTTGGAAGGGTTCAATGAATTGATTCCCAGGGAGTTGATATCTATATTCAATGACAAAGAGCTGGAATTATTGATCAGTGGACTTCCTGATATTGATTGTGAGTCTCTTTCATTATTTTACATTACCTTTATTGATGTCATTCATATTTATTTGCTCTCAATGCTGGCTATCTCTACAAGTCTTTAAACTCCGGAAAAGAATATTTAACGATAAGTTCTACATTTGATTTCAGTGGATGACTTGAGAGCAAATACAGAATATTCTGGATATAGTGCTGCATCACCTGTTATCCAATGGTTTTGGGAGGTTGTTCAAGGTTTCAGCAAAGAAGACAAGGCTAGACTGTTGCAGTTTGTGACAGGAACATCCAAGGTATTTTATTAGCATTACACAAATTTTACATGTTTGTCTTTGAATCACTTTGCTTCTTCTGCGGTCATATTGGAAATATTTTTCTCTTAACTTTTGTCCAAAACCTTGGTGTTTTAAGGCATAAGATGAGTTCATTTAAATGCTACCAACATTGAAATGCACCGAGTTTATTTCTTTAATTTATTCCAAAAGATCAATAATCCAGAGTAAATCTCACATGATTGAGAACTTAAGCAGAGTATGCAGTTGGCTATGTTACCCAATGGTATTTTTTGTGACAACTATGGATTAAATTTGTGATCTAAAATGTGACTTTTTCACTGAATAGGCTTAGGATGGATAATACTCACTGACAGTTTCATTCCTGACAATAGACAACCTTGATCTAAGCTTTTGCTTTTTTCCCTCAGAAGACAATATTTAGTATCGTACTACTTATGATCATTGAATGAAGTTGGTTCCTTGTTTAGTCGACTTGGAGCTGTATGTAATATATATTAGGGGGTCTGATTTTTGCTACCAACATTTCAGGTACCTTTGGAGGGTTTTAGCGCTCTTCAAGGAATTTCAGGCTCCCAGAAGTTTCAGATACACAAGGCATATGGAAGTTCTGATCACTTGCCTTCGGCTCATACTTGGTATCTTTTTCCCACTTTTCAATTCGTTATATCTTCTATCAACAATTTTTTTTCTTTTTTTGTTGTTATGTTTGAGTTTTGGGCTGTATATCATCACTTTATGGATCATCATTATCATGGGAGTTGAACTAAGTGACACAGATTCTTCTTTATGCAGTTTCAATCAATTAGATTTGCCGGAGTATCCATCCAAACCACATTTGGAAGAGAGGTTACTGCTTGCGATTCATGAAGCAAGTGAGGGATTTGGATTTGGTTGAATTTCTTTTTTGGGGGGAGGGGAGGGGCAGCGGACGCAAAAACTCTTGACATTTTAGGTAGGAAGCTATTTGAAAGTGGTACAGGGGGTTAACAAGATTTCAGGTTTATATCATGTTAATATGTTGTACAGTCCTATATTTGCAATGGAAAATGCCATTGGTAGTTTTTCAATTACCTGTTTTGTCCATTTGGCAAGCCCTATATGAGTTAATGGTAAAGGAAACTAAACGTTACTCCCCAGACCCCTCCTACCAATATATGATTATAGTATTCAAGGATCCAAAAAGGCAAGCAGATCTCTGGAATGTTCTAATAACTAAAGACATTACATATTACATTTCATAACAAATAATAAAGTTCATAACGAATAGCAGAGCAAATCCACTCGCAGCATACAGAGAAAGATACTATTATTGTCGTTTTGGGAGCACAAGATGCTAGAGTTGTTTTGTGAAGGCTATTCTTTGAGGATTGTTCCTTGTGGCTAGAGGAAGCAGTATCCAACCAAACAAGCGAAGTATTTTAAACTGAAAATCCAAAGGGGAAAGGAAATTACGCAGATATTCACAAGTTTCGGAGGTCACACAAATAACCAAGTGTTTTCTAAAAGTGAATGCAAATTATATAATGAGTTCATATCTTCTTCCTAGAAGCTCAGACAATGATACAGCTTTGACTCTTAACTGTAGTCGGTGATATGTGATAAATGGTTACATTTGCCGAATATTAAAAAGGGACAATGACCATATTGTCATCTTTTAGGCAAAAATTTATCAGATTGCAACGCCAGAAAAAAAATTGCCAAAATGTCACGTCACAATCCCGCTGGTTTGACAAACGAAAATGAACTGGACACGTGACAGTGTCTGAATGGTCAACCATTCTAGCTGAGCAGTCCAGTGCGAATGGCAGAATGCTGACACGTGACAAAAGTACAGGTATCCTGTACTTTTGCAGAGAATGCTTGTACTTTTGCCACGTGTCAGCATTCTTTCATTCGTGTTGGGCTGCTTAGCTAGAATGGTTGATCATTCAGACGCTGCCACGTGTCCAGTTCATTCTCGCTTGTCCGACTAGCGGGATTGTGACGTGGCATTTTGGCAAAAAAAAAATTCTAGCGTGGCAATCCGGTAAATTTTTATTAAAGAAGTGTCAGTTTGGTCAATGTCCTTAAATTATTATTTATAAATGTTCATATGTTAGCTTAAATATAAAAAAGTTGTTTTTAGTATTAAAAACACAAAAGTCAAAGATTATAATCTATTTTAAATAATAAATGTCAAACATGATATAAAAATCAATAGTGTTTTTTAGGTAAAAATCATTTTTTTTCCCGTCTAAGTTAAGTCAACAAATTAGATTGCAGCTTTCCAAAGATTTTTTTAAATGTCATTTATTTTTTTGGGACGCCTCAATTAGAGGTGTCTAAATGAGCTGAAGCTCTATATTTGATCCTAACCTATTAAATTGTAATATGATTTTTTTTAACCCTAAGTCTCAAAGTCCTATCATTTAGTGACCAAATTTTTTTCTTCATCAAAATTTTTATTATTTAAAAAATTAAAAATTATTTAAATTTAAATATTTATAAATATAAATAGATTATAAACATAATATAAGTAAAAACTATTGTGAATTTGATGGAGAATATAAGAGTAAGTAAAACATGAAAGAAAGAAAAATGAAATATAGAAAGAAAATCAAAAAAAGAATAAGATAAGAATAAGTATGAACTCTTGAAGGTAAGAAAATACTATTATATTATGAGTTCACCAAATACCACTTTTTTTATCTAAGATGTGTCCTTATATAGGACTCTAAAAATAACTAGGGGAATAATTACAATTCAACGCACCATTAGTGTAATGGTTGTATTGTAGAATATATCAAATGTTATGAAAAATAAAGAGTCACATATTATGAACCATGTAAAAAGTCATCCATAGTATTTTATAACTCCCCCTTAAAACTTACCATTAGTGTGATGGTTATAGAATACATCAAAGATCATGAAAAACAAAGAGTCACATATTATGAACTATATGAAAGGTCATCATAATATTTTACAATACTCTCCCTTGGAGGTATTCTACAATTCAACACATCATTAGTGTAATAGTTATAGAATACATCAAAGATCAAGAAAAATAAAGAGTCACATGCTATGAATCATGTGAAAAGTCATCCATAATATTTTACAACAAAAATAAAATTTTCAGCAGTGATATGTTTCAACAGAGAATTTCACTTGTGCATCAATAAAGAATGAAATTTTCCATTGACAACTAAGCATATTATATCTCCAAATTTGTATTGAAACATTGTATACAATGAACCTTATTAATTTTGTGGATAATAATAAGTAAAAAAAAAATCATAACGATAGTAAATTACTAGTTGAAGGAAATCTTTACTTTCAAATATATAGCATACTAAGAACGGTTATTCAATACAGGAGCGATAAAGTATTTATTTGATGGCATCCTTTAATAATGAATTTAGTAAAGGTAATAACAAAAATTTACTTATATTAAAATTTTGTTTACATTTTTACTTGTATATTTGTGTACAAATATTATTTTATTAAAAAATTAAATTATACAAAATTTATAATATGTATAAAATATGTTAAGAAAGTGTTCAATATTTGTTTGTTAAAATATTTTTTAATGTATTTAATATGATAAAAAATTATGAAATTATATCTTTAGATGGGGCTAATTGTTAACTCTTCCAAATGAGAGTTAATTTGATATTTTTATGATGAATTTGTTGCATAAATTTCATATAAGTTATCTTGTTTGCATGATAATTGAGCTAAATATTGCATATTCATGATAAAGTGCTTTGAGATGACTAAGTATGAGAAATGAGATAATATTCCTTGATTTTGTATAAGAAAAGATGACTTGTTGAATGTTTGTCTTTGCAGGAAAATTGACGTCTGAATGCTGTAGCAGAGAAGCTGACGAAGTAATGATATAGCAATCGGTACAGCATGACAGCGAGGACAAGGGAACAACTGAATTTTCAAAATTCAAAAGTTAGTTATTCCCCAACAAATGGATAAAACACTAGCAAGCAGGGATCAAGGGCGTTCTTAAAGACTAATTCTTATCCCAAAATCCCAAAGATCAAGGACAACAAACTCGTATCTAGTCAACAACAATATTAACACAAGAAAATCAAAAAGATCAAGATCTTATCCAATCAAGTGCCAACAGCCCAAGAAAATAGGGATAAGATAAGGATGCTCATGGATTTTCACTCTCAAACCTAAGGTCCAATTATCCAACCATTTTTCTTATAAAAAGAGTAGTCTCCCACGGATTCCAGAGGTTAGAAATAGGTCTAGAAGTCAGAGAAACAAGAAGGGAAGCGAAGTCAAGTCAGAAGGGTCATTTTAGAGAGAGAAAGTAAGATTCTTGGAGGAGGAAGAGCTGCTGGAGCAAGACTGTGACATTGTTTTACAACAACATTCGTTACATCTTCTTTTCTGTTTTTCAATGAGTTCTTTCTTCCTTTTCTCTGTTTTATTTAATTCCATTATGAGCTAAATTGCTCTATAGGTTAGGTGACAAAGTACCTATGCTGTAACACTGAGATGTATGCCTAAACTTTGTTTTTATTAGTGTTTAATTAGTTATTCAACAAGTTTGCTTATTCTTATTCATGTGTGCATGTTGAGAGATACATATATGATATTGAGGAGGTTGGGGCCAAGAGGTTTCCAAATCCAGACCCTTGTTGAATTGTGTGGATTAGTTAGGTTAAGAATAACTTGATTAAGTCATGGGTAGAGAGATCATTCACACCACATAACCTTTGAACTTGAACTTTAACAATTCAGTAATTAGTCTGGCCATAGAGATGTGAGAATTAGTTATTGGGTATATATGTTAGGTTGGTCAAAAGTCCCAGCATACTTTAGTGTTCGGTTACTAATTAAGCATTGATATATCATCGTTATAGCATTATTTCAGTATTGTTGTATCAGAAAAATTGAACATCAACTATATCTTATCCATCACCTTAATATCTTTAAATTTAGTTTACTGATTTCTTATTTTTAATTGTCTTTTAGTTTATAAATCCAATCCTCAAAATCAATCCTTTTTTCCTAATTTCTTTACTTGAATAGTTCACACTTTATAAATCATCTCCGTGGGAATGATACTTGGACTCACACATCCCTTTATTACTTGTGACACGTGCACTTGCGTATTTGTGTGATTGATTTAATTGATTGCAATTTGCACAACACTAATCCTAACTCATAGGTTTTTTGACCTATGTAGGCCTTTATTATTGAGGTTTATTTGGCTAGCCCTACCCACACGGGCTAGGGCCTAATGGGACGAATTGCCTATTTTCAGAACTCTAGCCCCAATTGCTAGTTTAACTATTATGAACTTTTTACATGAAGGTTGTTGAAACGAGTGGTAATGATTTATTTTGGTACGAGGAGCCAATTTCTGTATAATTTGTATGTTATCATCTTGCTAGAGAATAAATTTGCCAAGAGAAAAAGAGTGACAATACAATAAATATATTTATTTATTTATTTTTCAAAGAAAAAGAAACTAGAACAAGCAACAAGTTACATCTAAGTAACCATATGGGGCCAAGCAATACCCCTACTATCTCTACCTAACAGCTCCAAACACCCTTCAGGTGCAGAAGAAAAGAGTCACTTTTTAGGGTTATCTTTCGCAAGCCTTGATTCCACGATATCTGCAGACCTAAGAAAATACCCTAAAGCTCAGTCTTGAAAAAGCTGCTAGCCCCTAAAATCATGGAGAAACCCAAGATCCATCGCCCAGTATCATCACGGAGCACTCCACCACAACCACTTTGCCTGTTGTGCCTCAAAACAGAGCCATCTGTATTCATTTTGATCCAACCGGAGGGGGGAGGAGACCAACCGATAAGAATTTCTGACTTGGTACAACACAACATACTAGCCTTCTTATACACATGTTTTGCATCAAAAAAACTCGCTAGATAAGCATTAGCAGCCCTAGCTATTTCTTCTTCCTGGCTCCTTTTGTTTTCAAAGACCAAAGCGTTCCTTTCTTTCTATATATGGCCACCAATAATTCCAAACAAAGTGCTTCTTTTGTCTCCCTCCAATAAAGTGCTTTTCGGATTCAGATCCAACACCACCCAGTCCTCTAGCTGCATGCTATTAAAAGTAGACCAATAGCTTGATTTAATAAAAATTTTCCAGATTAATTGAGCCCAAACACAATCTCACATAACATGAAGACAGACTTCGGGACATGATCCACACCTGGGACACAAATCAAAATTCGACATATGCCTATGTTTTCTCTTCTTATTCATCAAGAAGTTTTCACCAAGTAACAGCCATATGAAAGTTTTAATTCTGGGAAGGTCATCCCAGCTCCAAACAACATTCCAATGGGGTTGTATCATAAGATGACCCTCAGGATTTAAGTTACCAAAAGCTGACGAAATAGAGAACTTACCATCTTGTGAAAGATCCCAGATCACTTTATCCTCTCCATTGTCAGGGTGTGGTGGGCAAGTACTCATAATGTGGCTCATAGCTTCGAGGCACAGGTGGGACATTGGAGGTCCTTTCTTCCAAAAAGACACCAGTTTCCACTTCTTTTGATCTATTACAGTTGAGATAATGTGGCCAAGTCTCTCGATACAAAGCACAAATAAGCAAGGAGATAGGGGATGTCATTGTCTAATTCTTCTAGATGGGCTAAATTCTTCAGTTTGTGCCCTATTCCAAAGAAAATTCATGGTTGAGGAGAAGACACAAGTCATAATAAGGTTAATCAAAGATTCCGGCAAGCCAAACACATCAAATTGGTAATACGGATTCAAGGAGTCATCTTCTTCTGTATCAGCATAGGCTTTAATAGCCTTTTCCTCATCTGCTTCATCTCTGTTGCTTTGCACTATACTGTCATCTTCGTTGTCTCTAGGTTGTCCATCCCACAGCTCACTCATTTGGATTAAACTATCCTTATAAGACACAAGTTTCTGAGGGTCACGACGCAACCCATGTTCCAGCCTGGTCTCTTCCATATTAACATTAATATGTTCAACATTTTTGCATCAAAGAAACTCGCTAGATAAGCATTTTCAAAGACTAGAGCGTTCCTTTCTTTCCAGATATGCCAACCAATGATTCCAAACAAAGTGCTTCCTTTGTTTCCCTCCAGTAAAGTGCTTTTCAGATTCAGATTCAACACCACCCAGTCCTCTAGCTGCAAGCTATTTAAAGTAGACCACTAGCTTGATTTAATGAATTTTTTTCCAGATTAATTGAGCCCAAACATAGTCTCTTATAACATGAAGACAGTCTTCGAGACATGGTATAATAAAGTTTTAATTCTGGAAGGGCCATCCTGGCTCCAAATAGCATTCCAATGGGGTTGTATCATAAGAGGGCCCTCAGGATTTAAGTTACCAAAAGCTGACAAAATAGAGAACTTACCATCTTGTGAGAGATCCCAGATCACTTCACCCTCTCCATTATCAGGGTGTGGTAGGCAAGTACCCACAATGTGGCTCACAGCTTCAGGGCATAGGTGGGATATTAGAGGTCCTTTCTTCCCAAGGGACATCAGTTTCCACTTCTTTTGATCTACTGCAGTTGAGATAATGTGGCCAAGTCTCTCGATACAAAGCACAAATAAGTAAGGAGTAAGGAGATCCCCTTGTCTAATTCCTCTAGATGGGCCAAATTATTTAGTTTGGGCACCATTTCAGAGAAGATTCATGGTTGAGGAGGAGACACAAGTCATAATAAGGTTAATCAGAGATTCCGGCAAGCCAGAGACCCAAAGGGTATCCTTCAAGAAATCCCAGCCTAGTCTATTATAGGCTTTTTTCCAGATCCACCTTAATTGCCATCCAACCTTTATTGTACTTCCTGGTTCTCATAGAATGATTTTCTGGGTAATAATGATGTTGTCTGAAGCGTGTCTTCCTTTAATAAAACTACATTGGTTAGGCATAATGAGATCACTAATGTGGTTCTTAAGTCCTGAGGCAACCAATTTAGTGACCACCTTATAGATGACATTGTCGAGACTAATAGGCCGAAATTGGCTTAAAACTTCAGGACTTTCCACCTTGGGAGTTAGAAAAATCAGAGTTTGATTGACTCCTGCAACCTTCTTAGGATCTGCAAAAATATCCTTGATAATATTATACATTGAATCACCCACTTTCTCCCAACGAGATTGAAGGAAAACAACATGAAGGCCTTCCACCCAAAGCGCTTTGAATGGCTGCATGCTGAAAACTGTACCCTTCACTTCCTCCAAACCAGGGGTGACTCCAATATTATTCCAATTTCGGCTAATTAAATTTGGGAACATACCACTAATACAAAGAGCAGTTTCGGAAGGAGACTCCTCGGTGTATAGATGCTTGAAGAAATTTACTACAAGGAGCTTCAACTTATCCAGATCATCCATCCAAATGCCTTCATCATTCTAAAGATATTTCACTGTATTCTTTCTAGTCCTTGCAATAGTGACCAAATGGAAGAACTTAGAATTCTTCTCACCCAAGGCAAGTCATTTGCATCTAGAGCGTTGGAACCAAGTAAGCTCCTCCTCGATGTAAATAGTATTGAGATCCTGCCAAAAGGAGTTGTGCAGCCGCTCCAAAGCATTATCAAGACCCCTACACAGTTGGGCATCCACTCCTCTAATCCTGCCTTGTGTTTGCTTCTTTTTTCTATGAAGAGCTCTAAACTTGTCATGGTGCCACAAGGAAGCTTCACGATGGAACTTATCCCCAGTAGTTCCCACGTGGAGTTGTTCTAGTAACAAGAGTTCACCATCTCACCAAAATCTTCATTTGTCAATCATACAACTAAAGATCTGAAAGGTTTCGAACCTTCCGGGGCAAGAAATTGAGCCTCTCCACTCAAAAGAAGAGGTCTATGATCAGACCCATTAAAATTGAGGTGAGACAGAAACTTGTTAGGGGAATTTAAATGCCAAGCCTGATTCACCACCAGTCTATGAATCCTCTCTTCTAGGGATCCTCTTTTCCAAGTGAACTTAGGTCCAGAGAAACCTACATTCGACAAACTACAGTCATCTAAGTAATTTGAAAACTCCTAGATGTTGCCCCAACACACTCCATTTCCACTTTGCTTATCATTTTCCTCCAAAAGAGCATTAAAATCACCCATCACAGCCCATTCATCAACACCATTAGTCTCAATATTCTTCAACCTATCCCAAAGCAGCCTTCTTTCATCCTCCAAGGACTGCCATATACAGAAGTGAAAAATTCCTCCTTACCATTACCCAACTAGCAGAGTTTGGAATGGATAAACTGCTCCTCTTCCTCGAGGATACAGATATTCACCTCACTTTTATTCCAGATGATCCAGATTCTACCAGAAAAACCTACAGATTCCCGTCTAAAGTAGTTGTCAAAACCTAGGTTTCGAATAACTTTATCAGTTCTTTTGCCACTCAATCTCGTTTCAAGCAAAACAAGCACTTGAATCTTATTTTGGTAGACTAGGTCTTTTATAAGATAGGAGAAACCCTTCTTCCCCGCTCCTCTACAATTCCAAGTACACATTATCATTAAAAACCCAAAAAATGATAAGGTAGAACAGGGGAGGCAGAACTCCCAATTAGACCAATCCATTAGGATCAGTCACAACACCCATATTAGTGATATCATCTAGCACCATGAAATCTCTGCTAACCTGAGCAAACCTCTCCCTTTCATCACATGCACCTGGAATATTCTCCTTTTTTACGTGACTTGGATTCAGGGGTTTCCCAAGCTCCATATCATTTACACCTCCTAGGAATGGACCCTTGCTGGAAAACAGAGTCTTCACAGAACTACTGCCATGAATGCTAGGATTGCGAGTCCAATTCTGGCCAGCACCACCTTTACTTATAATTATACCCTCTCTTTGCAGGGATTTTTGAATCTGAGGCGCCTTTCCCTCTTGGCTCAAAGAGCTCACTTTTGTTTGCTTCTCTGCCAGCTTGGCATTTGGTCTATAGGAGAGATTAACTTCTCCTTTACCTAATCTATTTTTCCTCCTCCTTGTATCTAAGCTCTTCTTTGCTACCCCACTCGCATTTGAGTATCCTGAACTTTTTTCCTCCGAGCTTGTTGATGGACTGGGCACCTTGGGATTTTCCTCCTTCTTATCATCCCCTAACATTGCAAACCTTGATCTTGAAAACCTTTCTTTGTTGACATGATGAGCATGTTCTCCAATAAATTTATCTTTTTTTGACCCTACCTCCTTAACTTTTTGATGTTGAGATGTTCTCCTATTTTTGTTTTGTCTCTAGACTGTCATCCAGTTTCCAAAACCATCAGCTTCTTGGCTTTTCTCAATGCCTTATGGAGTTTTTCCTTCACCATGGCTATGAGCAACTTGGTGACAATGTTATGTATCCCCCAATATCTCCTCAGTTTTGTTATGGTTGTCTGGGTTAATTGAACACCGGTCTTTCCTATAGCCATACTGACCAAAGAAAAACGGATAAGATGGAGACCTTCATAGCCAACGTAAAGCTGTCTCTAGCCAATCCTGAATTTTGAAAGTAAACTTTTACTAAGATTTACTTCTATATAAATACGAGCAAACCTGCCATGATCAGTTACCTCATCTTGGCTCTACCCCGTGAAGCGTAGGGAGCTCTAATCAATTCTAAGGGTCCTTCCCACCATGTTTCCCATCCTCCATAAATCCTTGCAAGTGTAGAATTCATGAGGGACACCAAGTATTCTGATCCAAACTACTAACTTCTTTACTTTGTCATTATGTGGATCAAAGTTAGGCCTCCAATGTTGCACTGTAAGGTAGTGGTCTGCAACGATCCAAGGTCCTTGTTGCTAAACAAAGAGATAATCCTGGGTTTTCTTGAATTCAACCATGTAGTGATCATTCTCTAGGTCCAGAACCTTGTATTCTCCTTCCATATTCCAGAGCTTAATGCTCCACAAAAATTTTTCCCCCAATCTTTTCTCCATCAACTTCAAAATCAGGGCCTTCCTCCATTTCTTGCATTCCTCTAGCTTTTCCAACACATCAAATTGGTAATACGGATTCAAGGGGTCATCTTCTTCTGTCTGAGCATATGCTTTAATAGCCTCTTCCTCATCCACTTCATCTCTATTTGTTTGCACCATCCACTCGTCTTCGTCATCTCCACGTTGTCCATCCTCAATCATCCTCCCTAAGGGAAAGACGAAAACAAAAAACCCTAACCCTAACCCTAGCATAGCTAAAATAAACTAGGATTTTGGTTCAACAACTCCATGCAATTTTACAATGCAATAAAGTTTAGTTCTTTGCATAGTAACATATAGAATGCAAGATTTTCACATACATAATAATTATCATCAACCATGAGACCGTTAGTTATTCTCATTTCAAAATCTTGATTTTATTTGTCAATTTGTTAAAATGTAATCGAGAACCATGAAGTGGTTGCTATCTGTCATAATCCTCATGCCATGTTTTAAATTTTTCTATCACTGCAAAAATTTATAAAGTTCGAGTTTTTATACAACATTTATAATAATTCTATTATCATATTTATTACGTCAGACGACGTAATTCATTAATTTCAGCGAGTGGGTGAACGTACGCAATACGCACTCCGCACCAACCAGGACTGGTTCCTCTTGCAAATTGATGAAACTATGGCATTGTGTTCAACGTTCTCATTTCATTCCTTCCCTCTGCGTTTTGCTTCGAACGACGTCAACCAAACAAAGCTGAAGAATCCTCTTTTCCCAATGTCATTCTCTTCAAAGTCACCGTTACATTTACCTGTAAACGGCAAATTCAACAACAAACGAAGCATTTTCAAATTTCGAGCTTCAAGCTCTAACTCAAGCAAACCCTCATCCTCGGGCAGTGGCACCACCGTAATTTTATTGAGTTCCGCTATTACCGTCACATTAGCAGTAGCAAATCGCGTGCTTTATAAACTTGCTCTTGTTCCCATGAAAGATTACCCCTTTTTTCTCGCTCAGCTCACTACTTTTGGGTAACACCTCTTACATTTACCTATTAATTAAAATTTGTTGCCTCTTATTTATCTTAGTGATTCCATTTATTTATTTATTTATTTATTTCGCTGTCAAAAATTATGTATTTATCATTGTTATTAAATTTTTTTAGGGTTTATGGTGCGATTGGTTATGTTGCGTATCTTGGAAGTAATTGTTGTTTGTGTAACGTAGGTATGTTGTTATATATTTTACCATCTTATATATCCGATACCGTGCGGGGATTGTAACCGATGAGATGCTAGCAATTCCCAAATTGCGTTTTTTGTACATTGGGTTTCTAGAAGCTTTGGGGGTGGCTACTGGAATGTCTGCTGGAGGTAACTGATTATTCCTTTTCTCGTTTTGTTTTTTACCGTTTTATATTCTTATTTGAGTTGTCTTAATTTGTGTATCTAAATAAATTATTATTATTTGATTTTATAATGTTTGGTGCTACGAAGCTATGCTGGAGTTTACTGTTAAATGTTAATAGGGAATAAGTGACTTTATTATTATTATTATTATTATTATTATTATTGGAGATTAAAAAAAGTGTGAAATGAAAAAAAGCAAATGTGAAGTTTGAAATGTTTATAGAAGAAAGAACAAAAGCAGAGGCTGCATTTCGTTGTGATTTGTACCTTGAAAGTGAGTTTCCACCCTCTACCAAGCAACAATGAATGGAAATCAAAATCTTTCCATTTCGCTCTGCTCTGAATTTTCCATCTACAGAAACAAGCATACTCTATCTGTTTGCTTTCGGTGTTTCTAAACTGAATGTTGGTTAACTTCTGCAGCCTTACTTCCCGGACCAGTCATACCCGTGTTGAATCAGGTATCTAAATATTTTAAGCAGCCATTGTCATCAAAGGACGAGAGAGGGTGAATAACAAAAATACAATTTTGTACTTATTTTAAACAATATACATCTGCCCTTTATTTTATATATCTGTGAAATTTACTTTGTTTTCAAATTATCATTTGTCATACATTTGGCATGGTCTTATTTGAGAAAATCTGCTTTCGTTTTACATAACATAGATGGCATGCTATGCAGCAGTACTTGAGTTTTGTAAACTTACTGGAAATACTGTGGCATTGATTGGTTTAGTCAGTGCCTCAGTGGTCTCTGACCAGCATGATGGAATTTGTAATATATTCAGAATTGGGACATTATATTGTTGAGCAATAACATAAACCTGCTAATTTGTTATCAATGACTATAAGTCAGGGAGTTTTGACGTTTATCAACTTGTATCATCTTAGAAACTTAGACTGCTTTATCTTCTCACTACTAACCAAATGTTTTCTTAAACTCATTTTCTCCTTTTTCCTTCCAAAAATACTGACACAACTAGCAATATCCAACTTGTTTCCCTAAGGACAATGCAGTCCATATTTGTTCAAAGATTGAATCTGTTATGCATCTCACTGTGATGGCATCATATCCAAGCCATTTCATCACCATATTTAAGGTAGCATGTAGCGATCACTCTTAAAGTGTCAGAGGCTTGTTATTTTAAAACATATTCAGTATGTTACGACCGCATGGCTGCATTTGCCTGCTAGCCTGTCCTTTTCTTTCAACAGGGATGGAAGAAAATGACAAAATATTGCAGTAAAATCTATAGCAGGAATGTTTATAAAGTAACCTGAATTATTATGATATAATAGGGAGAATCATACATTATTATCCTGGAATTTAGGTAATATTTCAGGCACATGTCCTTTCAATATTCTCTCATTCATATCCTTTAACTTTTCAAATGGATGGATTATTGTCCACCACTGATGGCTATTTATGAAGTCAGTGTGCTAGTTATTTTAATGCATCATTATTTATAACAAAATATTATCAAAACACTATTTATGATTATTTTTATTGCAGACTTTTTTGGTTTGGCAGTTAATGTTTTCTACTCTTCTCTTGGGGAGAAGGTACTCAATCAACCAACTTGCTGGGTGCTTTCTTGTAGCTGCTGGTGTTGTGCTGGCTATTGCAAGGTATTTTAACTTTAATATCTGGAGAAATACAATAATCCCTATCAGTTTTCCCCATATTCAGTTTCTCATGTTGAGTACACTAACTAGGTGGAATGCCTATATGAAAACTTGTTACAATGGGTGGGTTGCTTTCTTTTGGGCATAAAGGAATTGTTTTCTTCAAATTAACATCAATAAAAAATCTGTAGTGAATGAGCTTTGACAAATGATATTAACTTGAAAATATCGGACTTACTTCTGACCCCCCTTCACAATTAAATTTTTTTGAGTAAATACTCATATTTGCCCCTAAAGATACATGTGACATAACTGTTTCTGTGATGTAAGTTGACATCAATTTAGCCCCTCAACCATAAAAAATGACATGAAAGTTGTCCTTCTGTGTATAGACGATGAGAACAACATTAATGTACTTTCCAATTTAGGGACCATATTGATGTCACTTTCTATGATTAAGTGACTAAATTGATGTCAACTTTCTTTGGAGGAACAAATTGATGTTGGTTTTCTTCGAACCAATTGATGTCACATGTTTTGGGGGGGCTAAAATGGAAGTTTACCTTTAAAAAATACACGAGTTACTTGTTATCAGCTTATAATTGTTATGGACAGAAAGGTTTTGAAATTGTACTTTTTCTCATTTGGTGTAAAATATTAACATTTTGTTCCCCTTTTCTCTGTTTGAGGAGGCAAATAATGTTGGGAAAATTGCCATAAAGAAGTTCTCGGTATAAATATTTCCAAATTAGGAATAGTTAACCACTCAGTTGTTAATAATGTTCAAAAAAAAGTTAATGAGTAAACACCCACTGAATTGATTAACCACTTGCGTGGTTAATTATTCTTAAATTGGAAATAGGTTTACCAAGTACTCATTTCTGTAACTTTCCCAGTAATATCTGTTGCACTTATAATAATCTGTTTTTAGGAAGTGTCATTAAATTGTTAGGAACTTTGGTTGCTAGCTACTACTTATAACAGGCTCAAGAAGTTTGATAGATGTAAAATTTGTCCTGCCTTTTCACTGTGGTTGTTGGGGTACAAATGTCATGCAGTCAGTGCCTAGACTCTAGATTGATATGTGTTTCCGCTTTCAATCTAAATGAAGTAGGCCCCATCTGATCATTTGTCTCCCATAATTGCAGTGGCTTTAATGCAGGCCAAATGCTTTCTAAAGTTGACTTCTTTTGGCCAGCATTGATGATAGTTTCTTGTGCCTTTCAAGCTGGGGCTTCTGTAATCAAGGTTAGTAAGTAAGTAGATATCGATTTTTAGTTAAACCCTGTTAGGAAACATTATAATCTTTGCATTTTCATGTATGGCAGGAGTCTGTTTTCATTGATTCTGCCACTCGGTTAAAGGTATGTTTTCTTCTTTTTTCCCTCTTTTTAAAGGGGGGAGGGGGTATTTTTATGGTCACTGGATCATAGTTCATCTTGGCTTCGTGCATAGTCATGATTTGAAGTCCTTAATGTGTTCACGTGCAGCGCAAGTCACTGGACATATTTGTGGTCAATTCTTTTGGATCTGGGTTTCAGGTATTGCCTGCTATGTTAATGCAGAGATTTAAATATAATGATTGCTGCAACATAAATTTCAGTGAAATAATTGTACCTTTAAAAATCTGTAAATGACTTAAATAAAACCAAAATAATTTCTAGTTTTCCTTTTTTGTATGCTGATTTCTTAGTAATAGCTTTTTATCTTGTTAGATCATTCAAAATGTATTGCTTTTGTTTGTCGCCTGATAAATAGCAAATGGTAACTGTTAGAATGCTTGGATTATTGTTGGGTTAGGAGTCTTTTTATTTTGGACTCTGGAGTAATATTGAGTTATGCTTGTACTAGTTGTATGACACTTGTACTTGACCTAAAATGGTAGTATAAATAGGAGTATTTGATCAATTTTTTATATCACATCACATAAAATTTTCAGAGTCCTATTAGTTAAATATTCTGTTCCCTTTTCCTTCCAAACCCTAAAAATTCAACGGTAACAGAGCCTGAGGAAATTTTATCTGAAATTTGTCTCATGGGGAGGAATTGTTTTACTAAACCTCGATATTTGAATTCACTATCTGACTTATAGTTCTAACTGTTAAGACCATTGAATATCTTGCATAAAGAAGCTTACTGTCCTCAGTTCCCAATGCTGACAAGGCACCATAAGTTACCTCCCGTCAGATATTTATTCTAGTATCTGGAGCAGGGAATATATAAAATTTATTTTAAAATATTAGAACTATGATTCATACCTCATTTCATATTTAGACCTGTATAAGTTGCTACTACAGTCAGTATGCCTATTCAGTTAATTTCATGTTCTGGGGATCCACTTGAACCACGTGCCCGCTTTTTTCATTATTTTTTCTGGGCATTAGGCACATGGACTTTGGTCAAAACACATAATTGATTCTGACAGATTTCTTCTGAGTTGGTTTTGATCATTACTTTTTCTTCTGTAAAACTTAAGTAAACAGTGCATATTTTTTTCCACTTTGGTTCCATTGGAGGTGCAAGCACCTGGGTAGGGGAGGGGGATAGGTGGCTCGGTGGAGGATCTAACCTCCAACATCATCATCAGACTCAAGTTAGAGATTTCAGCTGGTGCCAATTGAGCAGCAAGCTCGTTGGCAAGACAATTTTTGAAATGGTAGCACAGCATTGACTTAAGTCCAGAATACTTTCTCTTATTGAATATGAACCACTCCCCGTTAAACCCGACTAGCGAGTGTGGGGTGGAAAAAATCCTTGTACGCAGCATTACCCTTGCATAATTGCAAAGAGGTTGTTTTCTGGATTCGAACCCATGACCTTTCAGTCATGAAGGAACAGTTTTACCACTGCTCTAGCTCGCCCCCTTAATACTTTCTCTTATTGGCATTTCAAATTTATTTTGGATTTTGTCTACTTTATGTATATTACTTGAATAATAATTGGCAGGTATATTTACGGTTGGCTTCTGATATATGTTGTAGGCTCTCTTCGTACTTCTCTTTCTACCTTTACTTTGTAACTTGAAAGGCATACCACTTGTTCAACTTCCTTCTTATCTTAAAAGTGCGGCTGATTGCTTTCTAAACCTTGGAGCTGATAAACCAAGTAAGCTCTAATAGATCAATAGCAATGCAATAACATATCTTTGCTACATTATTTTCTATTCTTACTCGTCTGCATTTCCTTTTATTCTTTTGCTGTTAAAACACTATCATACTAGGTATTATCTATTATGGGTATGAGATTATTCTCGGAGGTGCTTTCCTTTTATTGTGTTTAGATCCAAATTCAAGATAAAGGACATGAGTCTCACATCATAAGCATATGACCTCAGATTCGCCAATCACAATGGCTAGCTTTTGTAGTATGGTTCTCCCAATGTTTGTATTAATTGGCACCAGAGCCTTCCACCATGTCACTTAGTTGCAAACAAGTGTTGAGGGTGGTGATGGGTGCTGCAGAGCAGGGTGGAATGTTATGATCCAATTGCAAGGTATAAGACTTGGGTCCTACATCATAAGTCCGGGATTTTGACATGGGATTTATATGGCCTTGGGCTCTTTTAACACAATGGCTAGCTTTTGTGATGTGGTTTTCACAAGGTTCATATCACAATACAATGCCTTACCTAATGTACTCGGATCATAAACCTTCTTATGAGAAGGTGAATATACATAAGACTGGTTTAACCCCATTCAATATAAAAGATCACTTGGTGACAATAATTTATGTCTTACTTTTTTGTGAAATTAAATTAAAACTCATAATTGTAAAGGAGTAATAATTTCCTATTTGGCTTTTCTCTTGTCTTCTTTTCCTAATCAAGTAAAAATAAATATAAACTGTCAGGCAACCACAATGACAGTGAAAATTTGTTAGCTCTTCTTCCCCTCTAATGATTTTGTATCTTGTTGAAAATCTTTTTTACCCAAGTTGTTCTAAGTAGTTTCTTCCCTTTCAATGTCTCAGGTCATGATGGCGCACCCTTGCTTCCGTTACTTTACATAATTACCAATTTAGCATTCAACATATCCCTGCTTAATGTACTAAAGTCTTCATCCGCAGTTGTTTCTTCTCTTATGGTAATGTTGTCAGGTACTCTCTCTCTCTCTCTCTCTCTCGCTCTCTCTCTCTCTCTCTCTCTCTATATATATATATATATATATATATATATATATATATATATATGTGCCATTTCTTTTATGCTTTCTGCTGAATTCCAGCAAAACATGTCTGCTTAAGGTCTTCTGTACATCTTGTCTTTTTGAGCTTTTCAGCTCATGTGTTCTTATGATTATTGCAGTGCCAATTTCGGTTTATGTTCTTTCCCTTCCATTACCATATCTTCCTGAGGGAACAAGCCTGAGCCCATTTTTTCTACTTGGCTGTGCAATGCTTGTATGTGGTCTTTATCTGTACAACACCACCCGACCTGCGAGGAATAGTTCTGAAGTTGACTGAAACATATCCATTTAATGAAACCAATACTGAAGAGAAACCACCAGCCTGGGCACTCTATCGCACTAAGAAAGTCAGCCATGAGGCACTCTAGTCATGGTGAAATATATTTCCCCCGATTATGTCCAAATTATACATATTCAGTATTCTTGCGATTATTATTTTTGAGAGTAAAATCAATTAGTTTTAACTTTTTAAGGGCATTTCTGCTTTACGGTAGATAACTTCCTTACCATTTGATCATTACAACTTTTTACTTCCTCTTAACCATTTGTGCAAGTGTGTATTCCTGTATATTAATAGATAGAAGCAGATGTGATTGGCAGAAATCGAAGTATTATATTTGTTAAGTTGTGAAACCCAAGTTGCTAATTTCTTAACAAAATAACCACAATACATAAATAAACAAAAAAAGTCGAATTTCGAAAGTTTAGCGATGAGATATGTTGGTGTCTATACCTTTTCAAGAATAGCATGCATGATTAAAACCTCCATATTTGCGCTCGCGCTCTCGCGCACTATCAGATTATTATAAGAGTACCAAAAAAAAAAAAAGGGCCCTTGGTTTTACAAATTATGCATGTCTCATGCACAATTTTGTTAACTACCATATAGGCATATAGCACAATGTATGGTTTTTACAACATTGAGTTTAATGGGTTGATCATTATGAAGCAGCCAAATCATGAGTCTGTTCAGAATTCAGAGATGGAGCCTTTATCTTTGGGTCCAGTATACAGCACCAAACGGTCGCCTACACGTTAGCCCTCCGACTAGGGTATTGAATTCGCAAATAAAAACTTCACTTTCAATAAATATTCAACAAATATGAGGTTTGATATGAACCGCTCGACCTGATTATATAAAGGTGGATGAAAAATCCAGATGTCACAGAATTGGGGACTTAGTGATAATAGCCAAAAAAAACACTCATTTCATTTCTTTTATAATCTCCAATCCATGTTCTCGATAACCCAAGCACCCGAGCCGATTAGGATGATGATTACGTTAATAACAAAAAAGACAATAAAATATTAAAATAAAAAATCCCACTAGTTTAGAAACAGTTCCACACCTCGCACCTAGAAATCAACGGGAACCAGGAAAGTCAAATAAACGGGGAGGAATGCCTCAATACTAACTCTAGCTTTTACATTCCCTTGCATTGAATCTAACATTACTTCCTCCAACAGCACGAAGTGGTCCGTTTTCAGATAGAAGTTCAGTGCTGTAAGCTGAAATGCAAATTTTCTTCAGTGTCTCCTCTGCAAGGAAGCCAAAATTGTTAGTCCCCGAACCTATTGAAACAGTACAATTCGACCAACTCAATTGCATATTGCATAAGCTAACACAAAAGATGCCAAAGTAATTAAAATTAAGAAGGCACAGCTTGAGCCAAAATCTCCTTTTCTTTTGAAATTAAAATTGTCACATAAAATTTAGATAAGGAAAAGTGTATATCCGTTGCAGGAAGGAATTCAATCTTCAAATATATAGAAATTTGTCTTGATGATTAAATTATTTCAAAGGGTATTTCAACAGTATTTTTTATTATGGTCATCATATGACAATCATAAATAACTGGTACATATACTAGAAAATTTTCATAACCGGCTTTAAACATGACACAACAACAATTATTAGACCAATAACCAAATCAACATGCTTAGACAGGCAAAACATAGCAGGAAATAACATGCTTTCGCAAAGTACAGATCCCAATAAGATTTTTTGTTGGCTAAGATAAACAGTTCTGAGATTCTAGTGAGCAGCCATGAGGCTAGATTGCAAGGGACCATTTCATAGAAGAATATATTCAATAAATTTAAATTATAAAACACTAGATCTGCATAATGGAAAGGATATAAGACAGACTGTTTATTTGAACGGATTGTTTGTTACACACAATGGAAAAAGGACCAACAGAAACTAAAAAGTATCTACTGTCTAGAAGGCGATCATCAAATAACTAGGTCTGTTATATGCAATGAAGATGCAATAGTGCATAAACCACATCCACCATAGTTCAACTGAAACAAAATTCAATGTATGAAATTTAAAAAAGTCATTTATAATTTCCACATAAAAATTTCAAGTTTTAAAATTGCATGCCTTTCGCTTCTTCAGTCTCCCATTTCTGCTGCTACCGTTATTAGAACCCATTACTTGGTCCCCTGCTTTATCTTCAAAGGGTAATGTTTTGACTTCATCAAAGAAACTTTCGGTTAGACCTTGCGACCTGGAATAGAATAACCACAAATGCTAAGTGAAATATATATATATATAAATAAAAATGTCATCATACATTCAATGCTTTATAACACTAGAAATATCAGGCTGAGATTCCAAACAATCCCCATACCCAAATCTTGATTTCTTCAAGTATTTTTCTCTCTTCCTCTCCTCTTTTGTAAGAGGAACACGATTGAACAGCTCCTCCTCTTGCCGAGCGCGCTCCTCCATCTTGGCAATATGTCTATCGACTTCCCTGCTAGTTCCCTCAAAATCTCTTATCTGTGTAGTAAGCAGCCAAAAAAAAATCATTACATAAACTCATTAAGTCATTACAACTAAACACCCAAAATAAATTATAACATCACCTCTTCAGGTCTTTCCTCCATATCATTCATCAATGTCCTGATATAATCACTCTGCTTAGCTTGTTTCAGAATCTCTTTTTCTCTTCGCAACGCCTTTCTTTCGTGCTTTGAAACTTTATCAAGATCCATAGAAGTAGGGGCAAATTTTACAGCACGATACGAATCCTGACCATCCTACAGCATACAGGAATTAAGTTAGAGAGGAAAAGGGAAATATCTTTTGCCTGATGTTAAAAATTTACCATCCAACAGCATAACAAATTTTACACTTGATATGATTACACACAATCACCTGAGAGGTTAAATCTAATTTGCTAACAAGCATGTCAGGATTTGGACGATACTTTGACACATCCTCACTCTTATCAGATGCAACTAGCTTCTTCTCGCTTGGAATATCATTTCTGGTAGCATTTTCACTAACTTTAGTTAGTTTCTGGATTTGGTATTGTTGCTTTTTGTCAATTGGCCGAATCTGCAATTGGAAACAAGGATGTCAAATGTCTGATACACATTATATTATGTAAATATACATATTAACCTGAGGATTAACACACAAAAGAATAAAATTAGACCTTTTCTAAATATAATCTTATCTCTACAATACTTCGAACAACAGGATGTTCTTCTACTGAAAGCCCCTTAGCCTTCCGCAACAAATAATAAACAAGGGATTGGCAATAATTCAAAAGCAGCCAATTTTTAGCTTCAAGATAGCTAAAACCATCTGCTGTAGGATATTGACCTTCTTTCACCTGGTATAAGAGAAATGGAGAGGACGTGATGAGTATTATTGCTATTAAGATAAGTATGTCAAATTACTTATTGTTGCTATTAAGATAAGTATATCAATCAACGATATTTACTTATAACATAATTTAATTGAAGAGATTAGGCGTGATGAGTACTCCAAAAAGGCTACAGCAGTAGCAGTAGAAAGAAGTATCAACCAAAAAAGACAGGGCAAGAAATAAAAATCAATTCCAACCTACATATCAATTTGATGATAAAGTCTAAATTATAAAACGTTTAAGGAATGTGTTAAAAAAATAATACTTGAAGCAGAAAAAGTGCATTCAACCTTGGCAGTTAAAGATTGAATTTTATGCCGAACGGCATCAAGTCCTTCCTTCATTTCTTTCAACAACGCAGTAAGCTGAGGTGCTTCTCTGCAATTTGCAAACACAATAAAGAAATTGAATAAACTAACATGATAAAGCACCAATTCATTTCCCTATTGTGCATTGAAGAATTCAATATGCAAACAGAAACATAGAAACAAACTTACTTTTCTTTGCTATCATCGTTGTTTAAATGGTTCGCAGTCTTCTCCATGATTTGTAACAATTTTCAACAACCTCCAAACCTGCATTTTTTTTTAAGAAACGTGACTAATTACATTCTCAAAATTGAGATTTTTCACATAATAAAATTATAAAAATTAGTACAAAAATAAAGAAAAAATATTTGTACTTTAAAAGAATATATAATTGTGTCATTTCAAGTAAGAGAAAGATACAACATAATATTTTTTTTTTTAAAATTTAAATTTAAAAAAGAAAAACATCCGCTTTCTCTTTCATAATTTTTCCATTACTTGTGTCTTTCTCACACTTAAAATGACACAGTTCTGTATGATTGAAAAGTACAAAGACTAAACCCTAAAAATAAATAATATTCTTATTTCTTTTCTATACGCGTTTATTTCCTTATTATTCAAGCACGTAAATTACTAGGGTTTCTCCATGCTCAACACTCTTTATTTTCTATAACCTAGGGAAATTAAAAACAAAAAGACTTCTTTTAGCCGCCTCATCTATTTCTCTCTCTTCAGCGACTGTCCACCGACCGGACCGGACCATCCTCATCGCCGGTGCTAGACCAGAGGCTCGAAACTCTCCGTCGACGAGAAACAAAACATGGAAAAGTAAGTTTGTTTCTTAAAAGCTATTGGGAGAGCAATGAAGTGTAAACCCTTCTTATTTAAAATCGCGGTAGAATAAATGTGTATACACACACACAGTCACACACAGAGAGTGCAATTAAGCAATAAGAAACAAACCTTTGAGCTTGTGTATAGAACGAGGTAAGAGTTCTGGCTTGCCACTTATCTCTCTCCACTCTATGAGGGGTTAAAGTTAAACAACTAAATTTTTTGAGAAGGAAAGAATGAGAAATTTTTGCTTATACGAGTTTGGGCCATGGAATTGTCTTTAGAATTATCAACGCTGGGCTCAGCTGCTGAGCCCCATTAACAATTTTTTTTTTTTTTTAGAATATTTAAACCCGTTTAACCTTAACGTTAACTGCGTCTTAAATATATTTACAATTAAAATTTTAATTGATCCAACTTGTAATTTTGGGAGGTTGAGCCTTGCATGTCACAAGTCATTTTGAGAATATAAGAACTATAATAAAATTTTAATTATCTTGTTTAAATTATATTTTGCTAAATACATTGTAAGGTTGAAATACATGTTAATATATAGGGTTCGATTTTTCTGCAACCTGTGACAAATTATATATATATATATATATATATATATATATATATATATATATATATATATATAGATTAAAGTATTTAATGAGGGGAATAATAATTATACAAAAAGTGAAAGCATTAAATGTGAATAATCATAATCATACACATGTCATTGCTGCACGTACATCAACTTTAAATATATTTTTACCATATATAATTTATATATATATATATATATAGGTTAAAGTATTTAATGTGGGTAATAATAATTATACAAAAAGTGAAAGCATTTATGAATAATCATAACTATACACCTGTCATGACTGCACGTACATGAACTTTAAATATATTTTTACCGTATATATATATATATATATGTGTGTGTGTGTCTATTTATACAATTGTGACAGAACTAATTTATTTACACACACAAAAAAAGTGGCTCCATCAAAAATTTCTATCTCATTTTTTTATAGCAGTGTTATTAAAATCGGCTCAGTCATTAATCTGGTTGAGGTACGGGGTCACTGGTTCAACCGCATGACCCGGTAATTATATGCAATTATATAATTTATATTAAAAAATTATAAACATACTCAAATATCTAAAAAAATGATAAAAATTTCAAATATTTTAATATAAAAAATAACAAATCACATATTATTATCCAATAAAGGATCAAACAAAAATATAATGATCGTGATACCGGATTTCAGGTTCAGTAAATGTCATCTCTAACTATAAATAAAATCAAAATTTTATGCATAGTGCATAATTTAGATAATATTAGTGTTGTAGGTACATACCTACGTAAGTCAATAAGCAAAAAAATATTCAAATATGTCCATTACGATATATTTATTTTGAAAAAAAAAATTGGAATTTTTTTTTTGGACCGAGTCACACCCAGAATTTTAAATTTGACACTGATGTTAAAGGATCCTACCTTTATATGTATATGAAAAAAATATCTTTACAGCCACTTTAGATAAGATTATCTACAGCTACCCCAAAAACTATGTCGTTTTGATTAATTAAGGGTGTTTATGTAATTTTAGATGAATTAATGAAGAATATTTCAGTAAAATTGATATGATAAAAAAATAAACAAAATTACATAAACACCCTTTATTAATTCACCTAAAATTACAGAAGCTTCGTTCATTAATCAAAACGACGTAGTTTTGGAGTAGTTGTAGATAACTTTATCTAAAGTGGCTGTAAAAATGTTTACCCCTATTATATATATATATATATATATATATATATATATATATATATATATATAATTTCTTTTTTACTTAAGGCATCAAAAAGTATTTTTCTAAGATGACAAAATCTCAACAAAATATGCTCAATCTAAATTGCCTAAACATACATAACCTCCGATGAGCCTTTTATTTTAAGTAAAATTCTTTGGATATTTAAGAAAAATAAAATATTAATAATATGAACTCATATGATGGATTATACTTTTCTTCATTATGTGCTTAAGTGTATTACTTGTTTAATTGAAAAGTGGATAATTAAATACCTTTTTATATTAAATGTTTGATATATGCATTTTCTTGAAACAAGAATAATATATTTCAAATGTCAATTTTACGATCTTTCAAGTATTGTCTTTTGAAAATAAGTTATATTTCCCGAATTCACACGTGTTCGTACTTAAGTTTCTTACTTATCATAACATATTTTATATTGTATATCGACATAAATTGAGTTAATGGGTGTGCCTAAATGTCATTTGATGTTAACTTTTGATTTATAAAGGTACAGAGATAGCTTTATAAATTTCTACTTATATTTTGAATATAACAATCAAATATTAAGACTCCAAACATGCTTAGACAAAGGAAAAATTGAGCGAAAATGAGAAAAGATTCACGTGCAAAAAAATGAAGAATTTAAAGGAAGCAAACTCAATAGCAAAGAATCACTATGGATAAGGATAAAACTATCACTGTCCCCAAACATTTATGGTATTATGGATAGGTGATTGTATGACATAATGACACTTAATGATTTTGCATCCTTACACGATATATGCATTCCTCACTTGAAAAGTATGCTTAGCTTGAAAAAAAAAAACCTCAATTTGATATTACATTTTGTTTTTTATCATTAAATGTAGGATAAACCTTGCTTGAATATCCATGTGTGCCTTGATCCCTATATATTTCATTATGATGTTACTTTGATCAATATTTATCTTCTTTCTTATCGATGCAATTTTTATGTAAATGCTTCTTTTTTAAAAGAGTTTTTTATTATTTCAGAAGAAAATCCCCTTATGTCATTTAAAAGAACTTTTCCTAAACTTTATATCCTTAAGAACTATTTTGAGATGTTAAATGTACTTTTTAACTCCTTATTCTCTTAAAAAACTTTAAAAATGTTTGGATGTTCGTTGAATTTAGTACGCTCTCAACTTGCTTTAAACAATGTTATCAAATGATAACATAAGGTTCTAAAAATTCCAAACATTGGTCCTTTGAAATTATATAGAAATGAGAGCTTCTGAAAAAATAATAAGAGCCCCAATCTTCAAAATTTGTACATTATTTCAAGGATTCAAAAAGGGAAGATTTTCGATGAAGATAAAAAAACCATCAACCAGATGTGGAGATACATAATGGAGCCAAACAAATTGAGATAACGAGGAAATAATGTTGGAGATAACAACAAATTAATAAAAAACAAGAAGGAATTAAAAGAGCAAGACCAAAATCAATAATAACAAACCATGAATAACTTTCGAGAGAAGCTTAATGTCATAAGCTATGATAAAAGATGATTAAGTTTAACAAAGTACAATTATTGCCAAATTTAACAAGTCAAGCATAAACTTCATGTGAATAATTAAGATACAAGATTCATCACAACAAGCTAAGTTCATTCCGTTATTATAACATACTTTTAGGACTTAAATAAGGTTGCAAAGGGTGTGATGATGTTTTCTTTTACGAGTTCGACACTCCATTATCTCAAAAAGTTGTATGACTCTTACACAAATTATTATGGCATATTTTTCTAATAAATGAAAATAGTTATATATATATATATTTATGGGGCATGTTATATTTACAAACTTTTTTGTTTACAAACTCTTACAAACTACACTATCTTCTCCCGAGAGAACATAGTATAATTTGTAAAAAATTTCAAAAAAAATTTGTAAACGAATCATTCTCATATATATATATATACACACACACACACACTAAATGTGATAATCCTTTTTACAAGAGCTAAAAACGTGCATGAATTTATTTTTAAATCAAACTGGTTTATGTTAAGGACTTAACATAAGGCTCATTTTCTAAAAAGCCCAAGAAGGGCTAACGGCTAAGAGGAAAATTAAGAAACTATTTCTTAATTGTACTAAACCTAATACAACAACAATGAATCAAAAACTGGACCCCCAATATTTCTAAGAGACTCATAAGTCTACTTTTGCTAAGTAATCCATCTATAAATAAAGAGTTACGCTAATAAGATACACACATTCTAAACTTTATTTTTTAGTTGTCACTGTGCACACACCCCACCCTTTGGTTATGCCGTTATTATATTAGTACACATTACATAGTGATCCACTATTCTCTAAGGTATCTCCCTCATATATGCCTAAGAGAAGGTACAAAGATCCAACGTAAACATATCAGCCACTCGCTGGACATATCTGTCATCTAGACAAAACAGTTTCTATTTGTAAAAATCATGCATAAGATTCAGATAGGTTTGTAAAATGATTTTAATAAGTTTTAATCTTCAAAACATCATTTAAGAGTCAATTGTATGTTATTATATTGTTATAAACAATTTGAAAGTAAAAAAAAGTGAAAAAAATGCATTTTTTGTTCGTTTTTCACTTGTAATCAATGAAGTATTCAAATAAACAATGCATTTTTTTGTTCATTTTTCACTTGTTATCAATAAAGTATTCAAATAATCCATGAAGAATTTGAATAATGGTAAAAAAAATTATGTATACCTTGCATCCAAATCGTATATAACATTTATAAACGACTAGTTTTTGATGAAATCATTATATACCCTTCCAATAGCTCTTAAACTTATTAGGCATCATCCATACACATCTAAGAGAACTTTGAAAAATATAAAGAACTTCATAAACATTCATTGAGACCATATATATAAATCCATCAACCATAAACTCATTCTTGTGAAATCATCATATCCACTTAGAGCTTCAACTTATATACTTTATCTTTAAGAGAGTTATTATTTGATTATCATTTTCCTGCGATGAAAACATATTGTAAGGTTGCTAAGAACCTAAGAACCTTGGTTGTTGAAAGGTATCTAAACAACCGTGAATGTTAAATATTATGAGGTTTATAGACTCTAGACACCCATGAAGTTTAATGGGTTGTAAAATTTCCAAACACTCAAAAGCTTTAAAGTTGTAAAGGTTCACTAAACACATGGAAGAATCATTTGAGCTACTTGCAATCTGGACATAGGTTACAAGTGGTGGTGACTAAATCAGGATAAATTGTATTCTTTCTAACACTTTGCTTTTGTTGGGAACTCGGTTCCCTCAAACTCGGCTCAGGGGCCTTTCTTTGCGGAAGTCAGTCAGCAAGATCCTGATTTCGGATCTCGGCAATACCTCGGCCTGAATTTCACCAGGTCGGGCAGCGCA